AAAATTAAAAAAAAACAATGCATTTTGGACGGTCCGGGCTCCTACGGCGACTCACACCGGTGGACGGCGAGTCTTTCCGGCTTTGTTACTGCGTTGCGGTTTCTTTTTGGTGCAGTTACAACTCTTGGCAGGCACGTTCTCAAATTTTTATTTCTTTATTCATTTTCTTATTTTTAATGGTCAGCAAAAATGTTATGGAATCCTAATCGTGGCTACTCTGCTGTATGTTTTGTGGTGAATCCTAATTGGTCATACGATGAGCAATGGAGAATGATGCCGATCATGATCGAGGTGGAGCAATGCTTGAAGACCTCTTTTACATTTGTTTCTTTTGTTTTTGCTCTTAGTAGTACGAACAGGGCTGCCCATTGCGTGGCACAAACGGCCCTTGCATCGGTAGCAACCCTTTTGGTTGACTACCGCTTTTTCATTTTCACCGCACTGTAATACCCTATCTATTACGATCTATCTATGACAACAAAAAAAAAAAACATCGGCGGATCTAGGGCTGGACCAACCCGGGCCACGGCCCAGCCCTCCGGCGGATCCAGAGCTAATATAGAGCTTATAAATTTTTTGATTTTAGGTATTCGGCCCAGTATTATTTAATGGTCGGTCGAGTGCTATTTGATAATAAATTTTGTGTAGTTAGAAAAATGGTCTAGATGAACATATCCAAACCATTACTCTCAATTTAGTCTAGGAATTTTAGCCCGAATGATTTTCATTTGAAAAAAAACAATAAAACCTAAAAGTCTAAAATGTAAAAGAGTGTATAAAGTTTCATTGAAATAAGAAAATCATCTAAACAAATTGATTTGTTGGTTGATTCGTCTAGTGTTGACCTTAACCGTTTCAGCGGCTACCATGGAGAGAACATTTTAAGCAATGAAATATGTTAAAAATAATTTGCGCAACAAAATGCTAAGAATTTCTTGTTGATTGCTTAGCTATTTTCATTGAGAGAGAGTATGCTATTGATATTGATGGAGATTCTATTATTGTTGATGGATTTGCCAAATTAAAAAACCTTCCATTACAATTGGCATTGTAATGAATGAAAACTATTTTTATCATATATTTTTGGGTAAATACAATTTATTAGTCAAACCTTTTAGACTTTTCAAATTATTAGCCAAACTTTTCGAAATACAAAATATTAGCTAAATCTTTTGTAACGCATCAAAATATTAGTCATTTGTCTGTTACCGTTGGTAATTTTGTAACTTTTTTATTTGAAATACATAAAATTTTAAAATGTTGACTATTTTTGTTTACGGTATATAATATTATATTGAAATGCAGCCAAGTGCTTTACTGGCTACTGCGTTCTGGATCTGCCGCTGATTGTAACTATCATAACCAAACAATCACCAAAACCAAACGACAATACTTGTGGCCTGTGGAGGATTGCATCGACTTCGGATGAGGCGGATTTTTTATATATGATTTTCAAATTATAGTTTTAGATTCGTAAATATTCGTGAAACCAAAGATATATGGGATGAAAAATGACATACGAAAATATATCCGTTTGCGGTTCGTAAAAAACTCATGTGTACCATCCCTGGATAATACATAAAGTTCTTGATAAAAATTGAATTATTTTTAGAATATCGATGTTACTTATAAGTATTGTTAAGATATGGTTTATAATAACAAGGAAAATGAGCAAATTATTTGTCTAAGAGATAATTATTGTACTTGGTGGATATGGATGAACGAGTGAGTATTGTGCTAATACTTAAAATACTAAAATCGCACCAAATATCTTGCCCTCTTTGTCGAGTTCGGAGAAAACCCTCTCAAAAGTAATACCAATGGGATTTTCCCCTACCAAATTAATTCAGAATCGGTTGGATACCTACAGTGATGGGTTATTTTTTCATCCTATAACCGTGCCTTAATTTTGGTTTGTATTATAATAGGTACATTTATTATGCATTTTTTTATTATCAAACATGTTATTTTACTATTATTTACACAAAACATACTCTTGTATTTTAAAAATATTACAACCAAGCTCTATTGTTAAATTTTGCGTCCAAAAACTGTTAACCACGATCGAAAATTGATATGGACGATATAAATGTTTAAAATACTAATAATAATTTCACTTTAACATTTTTTTGTTTGTTTATTTTGTATATCTCAATACTCATAATAGTTCAACTTTAGCGAGGCTTAAAGAAATAAATGTATAAAAAAAAACTGGCATTTGTATTTGAAGAAATACATATGTAGATTTTGTTTGGTCCAGTCCTTTTTGCCATTTATACGGTGGTGGTTGGAGATTGTGGAACGGGCAAAGGATTAATTAAGGGGGAATGGGACCCGCTAATCACCAACAACCATTTCTCTTTACCTCACTCACTCAACCCTTGGCTTTTGTGTTTGTGGTTGTTGCTAATCCTATTCCTTCCTTCCGTCGTAGTAGTGGCGGCGGCTTTGTACTCTTTTCTTGCCCTTCTTTTTCCATTTTCGACATGTGTTATCTATCGTTGGAATCCCATTCACAATAAAGGTTTACCATATACACATTCATGGCCTGAATCTGATTAAAAGGGGGGAAATGGTTTGCTTAGATAATAAGATTAGGAAACTTGGCGAAGACATGCTTTTAAGTTCGGAGGTGAAAATTGTTATTATGTGGTGTGTACTAGAGCTCTTTGTTAACGAGAATCACGTTTTAATATTCTTTGTTTGTATTTCGTTTATGATTATTCACTTCGTAGTATCTTCGTTTTCAATGAGTAAATTCTTCCTGACCTATGAAATAACTCCCACTACAACATATGGTCGGATCCGATGATGCCAAGTCAAATACTGGTATCAAATACCGATTGGAAAGAAATTTTTATCTGATTACTCCTTGTTTGTAGATGATTATCATGACAAGTGGCCTTGCAAGACAATGATTTATTGAAGCATGAGGGGCTTCACTCTATTTCAGGGAATTTTTTTTGCTCTCTCTCCTATTTCATAGATAATCATTGCTATATTACAATGCTGTATGAAGAATTTGCCTGACCTTGATTGAAGATTTTTTGAAGGAACATGAGGTTCTCCCTTCTCTAGAGTTGGTTTCATCGAAACAACACATATAAAAAGGTTCTTCTCGGTCACCTATCTCATTCCCTTTTCTCTGGCCGCCACGCAGAATACGGAAGGACTTATTAGTCATTTTCTTTCAAAATTCAGGCGGCTTCTTGGAATAATCTTGGTCCAAGGTCCATAAATCAGAAATGGGACACTTGCCCTGGAAGCAATGGGCCGATATATGCATATCCAATTATGGGTTACCAGGCCACTTTTCCCTAAATATATGAAATTAGTGGCCGATTTTCTCTAAATTATGTACTAGCCGCATTCTTTTCCCCCATATTACATAATTTTGTGTCATGGGGTAGGAATAATTAATCAGGTAAGGTAAGTATTGAAGCTAATGAAATTAAGATTAATATATTAGTAAGACGTGGCTATTTTAGTCCAGGTTTATACAAAATATTCCAATTATTCTAAAATATGAATTGTACAATGACCATGTTAAAAGGAGAAGCATCGATGATGTTTCAAGTGCCTTGAATTCGAATAAAAAAAATTATTGAGTGATCGAGGGGTTGTTTGATTAAAGGATTGTAAATTTATGTTTTAAAGCTATAGATTAATAAATATAATATCCTTGAGCAAATCTAACAAACAAACAAGAAAAAATTATTATTTTGTAAATCCAACATAAATTTAGAGTTTTGTGAAAATCCATATTTTAATAAAAATTCTCATTTTGAAATCCAACAAACAAACAACTTCAATGATAAATAGCATTTATGCCAGTATAATATACTTCAGTTCATAATTTTTAACCGATTCATATAATGTTATTTAATAACTAAGCATTCTATTATACGCAATTTCTCATTCAAATTGTAAATGTGACATATTTGGTCACGTACGCCAAGTCTGAAACCATTATATAGTATGAGATATATAATCTAACAAACGTATGAATCATTAAGAAGCCACATCATAAATTATATATATTGACTCGCTCATAAGTCGTTATTCGAACTCGCTCTTTAACCACACCTTCGAGCCAACTCACTAGTTGAACTCAATGAGCCACTCAATCTAGTTAGCTTGCGAGCCTAATGAGCTGAACAAGGATGAGCTCTGACTCGACTCGTTTACTAACGAGTCGAATTGGGAATTACATTTTCTCGAGTCGAATGTCGAACCACTCATGAGCAGTTTGACTCACTTGCAGCCTTAGTGGCAGAGTCTCCATCGTGAATAGTGGACATGACCCAAGTCCTACAATAAAGTCCTGGTCTTTAACTTTAATGCTTTGAGAATTTCATGTCAAACCTGGATAATCATAGGAATGCTTCCCCTGGATTATCTCCAGAGTCCAGAAGTAGTAAACTGCTGCAATGTCTAATCCAGAGAAGAATTAGGTTACCCGGATCTTTTTTTTTTTTTTTTTTTGAAAATAGGATGCTATGATTCTACCAAAAAAAATTCTACTAAGTGAAGGCTTATAAATAGTGTGTTTTAAATATATTCATTTAAGAAACTTATACAATAAGTCTGGGTGGTGTAGTTGGTTATCACGTTAGTCTCACACACTAAAGGTCCCCAGTTCGAACCTGGGCTCAGACATTTTATTTTGAAGTTTTTTGTTCTGGTCTTCAGTTCGGAGCAGACTTGAGATTCCCAGAGGCCCATATTATGGAACTTGGGCCTGGTAATTTCATACGGGCTTACGGGCAATTAAGATTTCGTTGAATAAAGGTCCAGCGGAGCAAAAAATAAATATCCGGAACGGGGTTTGAACCCGACGTGAATCGAACACGCAACCTTCTGATCTGGAGTCAGACGCGCTACCATTGCGCCACGGATCCGGTTGTTGGATAAACTTTCATTTTATTTTATATATCAAGTACTTGTGAAACTGGTGACTAGTCCAAATCGAAGAGGATTTGTTTCACTCTCCGCGAACGGTTCAATGGAAGCGGAAACTCTTCTCCATGGTGCCATTTCTTGGAGCTTCAGTCCCCAGTGTCATCTTCCCCACCGGACTCGTCTCCTCCGCCAAGCCGTCCGGGCTTCTTCTTCAAATCCACGGGTACTTCAGCTTGAATGACCGGAATCCGATTGCTTCGCTTGCTTGTGGAGTTATGCGGTCTGATTTCCTCTTCTCTGTATTGCCGACGCAGTTGAAGAAAAGCTATCAGGGGCCGAAGCCGAAGCAAGATTTGATACCTGACTGGGTGTCTAGGAACGACGACACCGTTCGAAGCTTGCCCATATACGTTGGAGGCGCTTCTCTCGTCGCCGTCCTCGTTAATCGCGCCGTTTCCGGCATAGCTCCAGTTGCAGATGCCAGCAGGTGAAGTTCTTTAAAATCCGCGAAGTTCTCGAATTTTCAGTTATCATTCCATTGTTCGACCTGATCTCAATAGTTCTATGGAAATTTTAGCAAAACTACTAGGGAGTAACTTGGCTCGCTCACACTTGTTATCCTGGCATTTCATGTGATGGTGGCAACTTTGCAGTTCGCAGTCAAGAGCAGATCTATTGACACTTGGCTTGGCTGTGACCAGTATACTGACTGGCCTGGTATGGCTTACAATCAAGCCAAAGACTATCTCCGTGGTGAGTTGGTTAGGAATGAGCTCCAACTCTTGGTCCATATCTGATCTCCTTTGTTGAAGTCACTTGGGGCTAAGTGATCTGGTTGTGTATTTCTCCAGGTGAATCCGTTAGGTGTGGAATGTCGGATGATATCGTCTCGCTTGCCTGACCCTTTAATCGCAGAACTCTTATGGTACTTGAACAGAAGTGGTATTCTTGCTCTTTGTTTTCAGGCTTTTCATTTCCAAAGGAGTTAATCGGTTTTGATGTTCCCAGGGTATGGGAGTCTCTATCATCGGTTACATGCTGCAGGTCTCTAGTGGTTGTGTATGATCGTACTTGTATCTTGCAAATTGGAGTTGCAGCTGAGTCCTCTGGTGGAGAAGCACTGGCTGTGGATGCTGCCAGGTTGAGTGAAGGTTCCGTTTATCAAGGTGTTATGAAGTCTGGAAGTCGTAAGTAATAAAGGATATCCTTTTGGTTTGTTTGTTTCTGACTCCCCTTAACATGATCTGAGATTGATGCTTGATTAGGAAATGCAGCTTCTTTGTCCCCTCTCTCTCTATATATCTTGTAAGGGTACTACAGAAATGGCTTGACATTGTCAGTTACTTTTGTGTGTTGATAACTGCGCAGAAAGCTATTTAGCAAACCTATCTCTGTATCCTGGGAGGTCAGAACTGCCATTTTTACCATCCAACACACAGGTGAGCTTGCTGTGGTTTCCCTCCGATAATTCTGTTTGTTCATTGCCTCTTCAGAATTCTGGTTTTATTAATTCTCCACTTTGAATGACGTTTGAAATGCTTTAGGCAGTGATCTTGCAGCCTCTCGGAGACAAAGGAATTGTAATTATTGGAGGTGACATGATTAGGGGTTTCACAAATGCTGATCAGGTGTGTGTGCTTCCTTATTGTCTTTCTACATATCTCCCACACCCACCGCCTCTCTTCTCGTGTCATGGCTCTTTAGCTCCGCCATTCTCCATTCTCTTCAATCGACATTTCTATCCTACCTACTTCCTCCTCTCTCATTTAGCTGTCCTTTCTGTTTGGTTACAAATATTCCCAACTTCCCGTCTCTGCAGGCGTGGATCACTTATCTTGGAGAAAAACTGGATGCAACAATAGCCAAACATACAATTAGTGTAACCCCCTTGAAAATCCAGGACAGAATTTGAGACCAACTTGTTGAGCTTACTTGCCCTCCCTCGTCATTCATTTGCCACACCTACGGTTCAAGGTAACCTTCAGTTTAGCATCTGTGCCATCATTGTTTGATATTCCTTAATAGATTGAACCTCCTACATTCTACCTAAGCATTTCCTTAGTAGCAGTATCTCATGATTATCTACTAATTTTAGATTAGGATGCGGATAGATGACCCTCAATAAGAATAAATAACTTAAGAGTTGAGGGTTAGAGGCATGTAGTTCCCTTAACATCTCTAAGAGGTTTCTGGAATAGTCTGATTGCTTATAGTAGTTCATGTTGATGTCTTTAGGATTATGTTGCATTATTCTTCATATTGCAGAACCAAGCCCCTCTTCGAAAAGGAATATTTGATCCGACCCGGCTGTCAGTATGAGTGCTTCCAGAGTAGTTGCTAGTTCATTTTGATCTGTTCTTTATTGCTGGCATTATCTGTATAGTGTTTTAGCAGGGTGTACAGACTTTCCCTTGCAATAATAGAAATTACAGATAAGTGAGGCCAGCTTACGGACTTCCTTTCCTTGAGAACCATTAACCTATTTATTCAGATCAATAAAACAACTGGGTGTTCTATATGAACTTGTCTTCTTCTTTTTGTGTGGCTCTTTTCCACTTCAGAATTGTGACAGACGCACCGTACTATCTTATTAGCTTTGCTTCAACCATCTTTTCACGTAGTGTGATGAACTTGAATTTGTGTCTTCTAGTTCACATGCCGAGCAAAATAGTTGGTAACTGTTTTGGTTTCGTTCTAATCTGTTTCAGTATCCTGTTTCCAGGGTCTGCATTTTGCAGCTTCGGGCTTTCTATCATTGCCGGGCAATGGAACAAGGAACAAAAGAATCGTTTCATTTCAATATGTTTAAACCCTTTACATGTGTATAACAACTGTGTAAAAATCCGCATGTCAGAAGAAGCAGAGAGATTTCCCCTCAAAAAAACAGGGCGGGAGGAAGATAATAACTCAAAAAATTAAGCAAAGAATCGTTTGCGCCGGTATACCTCAATACTCAATCTGTGTGTTGTTTTACATGACACCTCGCCGCCGCCGTCTGCCACTCCAAAACTTGTGGGGAACTTCCCGATCATCAGCGAGCAGAAGAAGAAGCAGAAGAAGAGCTCCTCTCCCAGGGCAGTAACCCAGTGGCCCCATCAGCGAAAGTGTCCAACACAAAGTCCTTGAGACCAGTGTCCCAAACCTCGCAGAACCTCAGCCGCCAGTCCGGCGGCTCGACGGCCTCCGTCCCTAGTCCGGGCGCTCTATCCTTGGACCCTTTGTTCTGATCGTCTTGCCAGTTCGTCACGTAAGTCGACACCCTCCTGAAAAACTTGGCCTTGAAAGTGTCCCACACCTGGTACTTGTAGTGGTTGATCACCGCCGTGGTCTCGGCCACATTCGTCGTCCTGTACCCTTCCCGGAGCTTGAAGTGATGCACGATGTTCAGCAGCGTCACGTCCAGAAGGTCCGGCCGGACGAATGACTTGTGCCTCTCCGGCGCCTGAACCCTACAAGTGTACCCAACCGTCACCCCTTGCTTTGGGGGTGCTGTGAGCCCCGACGGTCCGAAGCTGTGGCACATTGTCCTTACCTCGGCGATCGTGGGCGAGTCGGTGTAGTTCGAGACCAGAGCACGGAGCGAGTTCTGTCCTGGCAACTGGGTCTGGCTGCCGCGGTGCTGCCGTGGTAAGTAGAAGAACTCGTCGACGTCGAAGAACCCGACCCAGTTGCACTCGTACTTGGCTCTCAGTGCACAGTGCGAGAACCCTGCCTCCTGCGCTTTCACCCACGGCCAGACGTGCCTGGTGACGTTGTGGTTCAGGGAGTTGAGCTCGTCGGCGACGTCTTGTAGCCCATCGTCGCTGTTATTGTCGTAGATGAACCACCGCTCCACCCCCAGCCACGAGTGGTACATTACCCATTCCTTGAGCACCGCCGCCTGGTTCCACAGCATCGTGCAAGCGCAGAGCTCGTACTTCGCTTCCCCCTCCTCTCTCATCCCGTGGGATTTCGGGTTGTATACTTTGGCCACCGATGGCAGAGCAGGGGAGGCTGTGGCTACGCGGCTGACGGTGACGCGGATTCCTTCAGCTAACTCGGTGTTGTTGTTTCGGATGCTTCTGGGCAGCAAGCAGCGGACGACCTCTTGAGCTGCGGCGGTGGCTTCGGTAGTGAAGATGAAGCTATCCTGTTTGTTAAAATGACTCAAAGAAAAATGGCACCTGAATTCTGCCGGATTGACATCCCTATGCGGCTTCAGATTCAGACCTTTCGCCAACACCACCACCGTATTGGAATCCAGAATCGCCTCGTAGACCACCTTCCCCCAATCGGGGACGGAGTCGGCACTGTCATCATCCGCCGTCTGATTCACTGCGCTCCTCATCCAGTTCCCTTCCACGACCTCACCGCCCGTACGGCGCAAATCCGCGGCCGCGGAGAAATTCACAGGCGGGAGCTCGCACCTCACAATCGACTTGCTCTCCTGGTAATCGTCCGCCGAAATAGCCAGCTTCACGAGCATCTCGTCGAGCACGTCGGCGGCGTCGCCGAGCTGGGGGTAGTAGACGCATTCGAAGCTCTCCCCTCTTTGGACTCTGTTGGACAGGACGAGCAGCAGATGGTCGGGCAGCAGAACCCGGCTCTCGATAACCAAAGGAAGCGGCTTGCCGCCGCCGCGGAAGTAGTCGTCGGTGAGCAGGTTGGGGAAGACCCGGGTGAAGCCGGAGGCCCGGAGGACCGGCCGGAATGGAGAGCGATCTGAGCCGTAGAAGTAGAAGAGAATGAAGAGAAACGAAGTTATGCCGAGAGTGAGTGACCTGAAAGAGAGGATGAGCTTCAAAGCAATTTTCCCGCCGCTGTTGTTGACTCTCTTCCACTTCCGCCGCTGGTCGGAATCCATTGGCTATAGCAACAGATCCGGAGCCGTCGCCGACAGTGGGTGTTTCCGAGGAGTTCGGAGGGTGGGGAGAGATTCTGGGTCGTCTTGTCGGGAGAAAATGGTGGAGCACGCAAGGGTGTGATAATAATGGCGGGGTTTAAACAATGGCGGCCGGCCGTCAAAGGAGGCAGGCGGTGAGGAATTGGCGAGTTGGGAGGGAGAAGAATAATTAAAAAGGAGAGAGCTAGCTGGGGAAGAAAGACGAAGGAGAGGAGAAGAAGAAGAAGAAGGGAAAGGTGACGCGAGAGTTATGGTGCGTGGTGGTGACGTGACAATCCTAGTTGTCCCTGTGTGTCGGATGGGGAATTCTTTTCCGTTTCTTTTTTTAGGATGGTGCGCGTGGTGGTGACATTTCAATTTACCACATACATCGCACTCGTTTGAGGGAATTAAATGAGGGGTTTTAATCAAATCATAATTAATTATTGTCCATTAATGGTGCTTTGGAAACATTGGATTGTAACTTTTACTGTGCCCTACGGGCATCCTTCCATATGTTGGACGCGGAGGAAGATGTCGACTTAAATAACATACTAGGGATTTTTTTTTTTTTTTTTTATAACCCAGGGAACCTCAGCCCCACGTGCCGCTTGAGCGACAGCGGGGCCTACTAAACCACTGGGGGTACCTGCATACTAACCGGGGCTTTCTGCTACCAACATCGGGGAGGCTTCGCCTCCGATACCAAGGGTGCCGCCGGGAACGCACAAGTGGCTCCACTGGGAATCGAACTCAGGACCTCTCACATCCAGAGCTCAATTGGACCAGTGTTTTCACCACTAGTCTATGTTACCTTTGGCAATAACATACTAGGGATAGGATGGCAATTTGAGGAAGATGCTTTGGAAACATTGTATCATTTGATTTTTTTCTATGTCGGCGAGTATTATCCGATCTGCACCAGTGTGGCGACGAGTATTGAGTATTATTTTCATCATGTCTTGCCCCGTCATGTAATTAATCCGTCATATTTTGAGTTATCTTAATATTTATATTTATCCTATTTTGGATTTTTTCATACTATTTTTAACAAATTTTGAATAAGTGCAAGACTTCTTCTTTTAACTAATTAGACTTAGTTATTCACTTTATTATCCTTATTTTCATTCATAATATCGTAGAAAAATAAATTTTGCGTATATTTTCTTTCAAGGACATGTGAGATTGGATCAATCTGTCATGAACGGTATCCAAGCATATGTTATCCTATTTGATCTACACTTAGTGAGGGACAAACATCTATATTGAACTCTACTACCTATGTGAAAATTACCCGACTTGACCCCTATTTGATAAACAAATATACATATTGAGATATTCGTCACATTGTTATCACTAAGTAACACCAGTTTCGTGTTACATTTGTGTTCATGTATTTGAGGATATAACACATTGGACATTCCTATCATTAACACGTAAATACTAAACAGACGAGAGAGCCTATTTGGGCAGTTTACCTTTAGTAGCAAAAGCATTATATGGTCAATTTGGATTCATCTTCAAATGGGAAGGAACAAACATTTTAAGGGCTGAATTAGGTGAATAAAACCTTGAGCTGAGTCATATTACTAAACTAGTATTTACCGTATAAAGTAATCGTCATCCGACGACACGTAATGGCAGAGCGGTAGCTACTAGCTACGTGCTTTTTTTTGATAGACTTTACATGATCCGGAGAGGGATTAGTTTCGTGATCCCATCCCACCACCTTGACGGTGGTGGCAAAGACGTGACCAGTTACACCCCAAAAACTCAATCACTTAAGGACTAAGGCTTAAAAGATTTTAATCATAATAGTTGGGCCAATTTTATAAAAATCTCCAACGCTCGTGAAAGTATAGGTTCTTTTATCAAAATCGCGCAGCTTCGACTCAAGTCTGGATATAGCACGATTCAATTTTCAAATGAACATAAAAATAAAGGATACGTGGGCAGCGGCGGATCCAGAACACAGAGAAGCACTGGGCCGAATTTCATTAGAAAATTACAACCGTAAAAAAAATAATGATTATAGTTTTTTTGCAATTTAAATTGTACCCGATAGTATTTTAATTAAGAGAATGCATTAATAATGGAGTCTACAGAGCAATCGGCGAGAAATTCATCGCTCATTTGTTGAGCAAATCAGTTGTCGCATGTTTCATTGTTGAAAAGGTTCTCCTCGTAGTAGCTGTTGAAACGAGCAGCATCAACACTAGACAAATCAATCGACTAATCAATTTGCATTGTGTGTCTATCCATGCATCCACCAACTGCTCTAGTAAATTTTAAAGGTAACAAACCTCATATTTCTCTTAGTATTTTTCATTTTAAACTTTTAGAATTTTACGTTTCATGGTTTTTTTTAGACGCATAATCTTTGGGGCTGAAATTTCTAGGCTAAATTTAGAGTAGTGATTTGAATATGTTCATCTGAATCATATTTCTAGTTATACCCAATCTTATTATAAAATAACACTGGAACAAATGCCTAAAATCGAAAAATTCATAACGACAATACTAACTACGGATCCAGAAGAGGGTTGGGCCGGGGCCTAGGGTGGCCACCCCCTAGATCCGCCACTGTACGTGGGGATAGATACTCGCCACAATGAAGTGTGATCGCTTAATTGATAAGAGTCTTGACAAGCTCTTCTGGAATCTTCAACAGAAAAACTCAAACAAAGATCTTGCCCTAGCTATGAAATTACTAAAAGGTAAAAACAATAAACCATAAGCACTTATGCTCCTTGGGGAAAAGTACACCTCGGTGCAAAATTCTTATTCATTAAAACCTAATCTGTAAAGTTCGTGTTCACAATCCTTTATATAGCTCAGGGCAAATAAAATAATCAAAAACTCAAAAAGGAACAAAAATCTAAACCTAAAACGAATGTAAAACTCGACCAGACCCGAAATCCGGTCATAATACCTTTTTGTTAAACCCAGTGACCAAACTCGCAATTTACCCTATCATACCATATGTGCATTGCATGGTTCATATCGAGAGGTTGAAACACACACTAGGAACTAGATCAAATATTATGTACTCTAGATAATACAATGACTATATTTATACTTATTAGTTGTGTGCATTCCTTAGCTAACTTATTAGCGCAAAGTTACGATCGTTTAAAGTTTCGATTTTAGATCAGACATACTGTGGTCGTCAATCGCGGTGATGCATTCATCGCTTTCGTCTGTCCCGGTGATTTCCAAACATGTATAGATTTTGAATTTTTCATAAAACGTGTTTATTTTGCGATTTTTTTTTTTAAACATGTGTATTTTAGGATATTTTTTTCTCCCACAAAGCTATCTCTACTTCGGCTAAGGCTCAAAATTGTTGGAGAAAAGGTAAATTAATGGCATCTCAATTCAAATAGCTGAAACAAAAAAAGTGTTGAACCATCCACACGAAAAAAAGAGCATCAACCTTCAGTTCAGGAAGTCAATCAGGCGTTAGGTAATCGATTTCAAAGCCCTCATCCATTAGCTTTCTGTCAAATCTTGAGGTGGCTTAAAGTCGAGTCGTATGTATGAAACGACAAGCAGCTGCGGAGTCGAGCGTCGTGACATCAAATTCCAGGTTGGAGATCGATATGATGTTCTTCCTCAAGCTTCAACCTTGCAGCTACCCAACATTCCTTCTGAATTCCTCTAAGGCCCAAGCATTCCAGAAGCCTTAATTAAATTGCTGGTCGGTTCTACGACCCATACAACTGCGGAGTTCTCATCGGCCCGCAGCGCCGCAGTGATGAACGCTTATTTGCCAACTGCCGTAGACCCAGAGGACAGGCCCTCAATCCAAGTAGGGAGAAATGATATTGGGCTTCGACAATTCATATGGACATCCTCAGCCCAATAGTCTTATTGGACTTTGGACTAGGAAGCTATGCTGTTTGTTGAGGGAGGCTCGTCAATGGCAAAAGAAGGAAAGATCCGACAAACAAACAATACCAAAAGAAGAAGGTTTCCAAAGTTGAAAAACTTCAATATTGGGGCGCAATCAAATCAAACAAGGAAATCTCAAAGAGGAGAATTTCCTATCATGGATTAGTCTATATTGGGATCCTTTTGAAGTGTCAACCAACGATCAAACGGACGGAAAGTTGACGATTTGGATATTAGATTGTTTTCGAAAAGATTTGGCTATTATATTGTTTAAAATGAAAGGTTTGAATATTAAATTGTATTTACCTTTTTTTTAATCAGCTGAACCGAAGCAAAATTCAGCTCACCAAACTCGTTTGCAACCCAGTGGGAGGCGGGTTCCATCCATGCTTACCTTGACCATGCATACTGGAGTGCTCTTTGTTTTATTTATTTATTTTGCAGGTGTAGATACTCAGCTGGTTTTTGAAGCACGTTTTAAACATGTTAAGCGTGTAACCTGTTTGGAGGGTCTTGGGATGGAGAACATGACTGTTGGAGAACGTTTGGCTTTTGCCTGGAGGAGCAAGATTTTTGATGTATTTGCTTTTCTTGTTTGTGGAATTTGATTGAGTTTGTAGTCTGTGTTTGTTCATTTTGCACGTGTCCATTTTGTACCACAAAAAGCTCTCTCGTATTATTGCCTCCATCCCATTCTGCTCGTGGAAACTACTGAGAGCCCCAAAAGCAAACAAAGAAATTGCAACCTGCTGAAGAAGCCCCAATTTTCCTAATCGCAAATGTTAACCCTTTAGGCGCAAATAATGAAAAGACTGTGATCCTACTTCCACACCTGCTCGACAAACAAGACCAACATTCATTCCCAACACATAAGAAGCATTGTGGAGGGGGAAAGAAACGAGAAGGCGCCATTGATGATGATGATAACTTCAGTTTCGTCTTCCTGTACACATCCAATCCAGACGACTCTCATTTCCATACTCTGCTGCCACTCTACCTTCAAGATATCCCTGTGTTTCTTTTTAACTAATAGGCTCCCGTGTGATCGATCAAACTTGTTTAGCATCTTCAAATTCTCTTTCCCAATGAGACTCTCCGCTATGATTTTGATTCAGTAGTAAACCTGATTACAACAGTCACGAGAATCAGCGAAAGCACTATAATGAAGACATTCAGATTCAATGTTAAACTGAATGGGAATGATCACAAAGGGCCTGAGTGGACTGACATGACCAACATGACCAATGATTTCTAATTTACTTGTTATTTACTGATCAACATGAGGATCCATATAGAGAGGGATCCAATTTTAGATCTGGTACAACAGATTGTAAGACAACATTCGATGAATCGAATCGATATAGAGAAAAGAGATTTTTTATTACCTGGCTGCTGCCTCAAGTTTGGTCATAGCACAAACGCAATTGGCGCAGCTGGTGTTTCAGATACTCGCCCTTTGACTACTTGCTTCATCTTGAAATAGTTTGCTTGACATTTGTCTCGGAGAGAGCCCTGCCATATTGGCCCTGCCAAGAATATGAACGCCTTCCAACGAGTTGCCAACAAAACCACCTTTGCTGGTACTATGTCTCTGCTGAAATCTCCTGCCATCGGGGAGATATGCCCCACTATTCCCGAGGCTGTTTCGTGATTGCATTATACGGGACGAAGGGAACCTTGAAGCTGCAGAGTACTGATCGCCGTCTGGTCTTCTCCATAGCTTCGAGCTCAAGAATTCTGTGCCGGGGAGCTTGCAGCATGTGTTATCGGCTGAATCGGTCTCGGGTATCCTTCCTCTTGATACAGCCAGGTCATGTGATATTTCATCCAATGCCATTTCCAAACCACGCACTCTCGTCTCCAGAGAGTTAATCCCGCTCTGAGAGCTCCCCATGAATCTCTGAATTCAAGCAAATAAGTGAATGGCAGCAAAGTCAGTTTGTTTCATGTGAATACAGAAGCAGTTATTAGAGTTTGAATTTGCATTCTGCAAGATTGTTAGGCCTTAGGGTAAACATTTATGCTTCTAGGTGATATGTTGATATGAAGACTAAAAAATTTAGAGTAAGGTGGGTTCTTACATTACATCACACAATTAATACTAGGCCACTCTTCTCTTGCGGTAAAAATTGACTTTGCAGCATGATAGACGACAAGTAGGGAATATCTCATTTGACAAAGTATCCCCAAGTTGGAACGGAAGATGTGAATAAAGTATGAACTAAATGCACCCAACAAACAACAGCTAACTGACAAACAGAGTTACTGGGATCCGAACACTGGAAATTGCACGAATTCGACTTGATGTAGACTGTAGAGAGGTAAAAAGGTTAAAAGAAATAAAAAATACAAACGGTAAGAATCTTGTACCTGGAGAAGGTCCAAAAGATTGGATTGCTGGGTTTCAATCTGAACAAGTTGTTCACGTATCAAGGACAGATCCTCCATCTCTTTGGGATTCTCATACAAATCTTCAGCAGGCTTGTTCAACCCGACTCCTTTGGTGTAACACATTTCACCGTCATCCCCCTCATCATCGTAGTCATAAGGAACCACCCTCGACCCAGATCTGAACCCACCAAATTTGTGAAGCTTGTCATGGCCGCCGCGGGTGCTGCTGCTGCTGAAGAGCACCCGCTTAGTTTCTGGACTCAAACTCCCATTTTTCACTTCCTCGACCGGTTTCAGGACCTTTGGCTCCTGCATCTTGATGTCATCTTCACAGGCCTTCTCCTGTGGTGCTACAGCAACTTCAATTTTCCAATTGGGAGAAGGCCTCCTGTGGTCCACTTTCTGAAACATTGCCGGCCTTGAATTGCTGTCATTACTCTTCACAAGACTTTGCTTCTTGGCTGTGGTCACAACAGGAGAAGCATCCGATGGAGGGGACCTACTGGGTGGTGGGAAAGACTTCCTTGATGAAGAAGGCGTTTTATAGCCAACGTTGTTAGAGCTTCTGATGCATCCACCATTACCATTATCTGGTCCCGAGAAGAAAAACCCAAATCAACAAAAGGGCAGAGAAGAATGGGTGGAGTCAAGCCTTGGGAATATTTTTTCCCACTATTGAGTGGGATAAGGAAAGCTACTCAAAAAGCTCGAACATAATTACATTATGATAAAAGAACACTATCCACTGACAACATTTCCTTGGCAATTCCATGGAAACCTTTCCAATTTCACGAATGATACGATCCATTGACAGCCATTAAAGAAACACCACAACAATGGTTACCTCCTCCTGAAGAAGATCTAGAGAGGCTTGACACTGAAATCTCTTGGTCAGAACCACCATCTACCTCCTTCCACAACTCCAGGGTACGGTTCATAGTCTCTCGAACAAGCTTTACCTGTTAGATAGGAGAAAGAATCAAGCCAGAACGTTCAGTTTTCAATTCCCCAATCGAACGCCTAATCAAAGAAGAAATCAAAAGCTGAATAGACTATTTGTTTGTTACCTTATCAAACCTCCTGTTCTCCAAAGAGCTCAAACACGAAGTTCTATGATCCTTGGCTGCTTGTTTCTCCGCAACTGCAATCTTCCCCAATGCCTCGGCCGCAGCCTTCCTCGCCGCCCAATCTTCAGAGCTCAATAGGTCAACCAAACAGGGCACTAACCATTCCAAAATGCTCTTACTCGCCGCGCCTCCAACGCCTACAATATTCCCAATCACACTCAACAATGCCGCTTTGGCCTTGAATCCTTCTCCCTTCACCAGCTTACCCAGCCTAGGCAGCACCTTCCTCAGCTGCTCAACCTCCGGCTCCGGCGCCGCCTCAATCGCCGCCGCCAGGCACATCGCGGCTCCGATCTGGGAGTTCAGATCTTGCTCCACCGTCACCATCTCTATGAGCGGCTTCGAGACGGTGGAGAAGGGAGGATGCGTGACCTGAGACGACATGGCGGCGGCGGCCTCGACGCAGGCCGACCGGACGGCGGAATCCGGGTCCCGGAGGCGGCGGACGACGGTGGAGACCATTTTGGAAAGGTGAGGGGACAGCGAGTTCCCGTGGGAGTGAGAGAGGAGCGCCAGCAGGCTCACGCATTGCTTCCGGACGGGGGATTTGGAGGAGGAATCGGTGTTGTGAATGCAGTTGAGGAACGGAGAGAACGAGTCGTGAGTCAAGCTCCGAGCGATTGACTCGAGCTCGGCCGTGGCGACGGCGAAGGTGTCGCGGTCGGAGAGCTTGTTCAGGCAGGCTATGACTCGTGGCTTGAGATCGCTGCTCCCGGGACTCGCCGCCGGAGGCGCTGAGATCGGCGAGGATCGTTTCTGCGGCGACATCGCTCCTGTGTACTTGGAAATTTAGTTCTCTCTGTGTTCGCGACTACTTCGCATTGAGTCACCGTTGACGGGGCGTGGTTTTCGCCGGAGCCGGTGGCCGCTGCCCTTTTTTGGGGGAATTTTTTGAGGCGGTGGAATTTGGCGGAGGGAGAGAGATGGCTCGGTTGCTTGGTAGCAAGTTTAGCGAAGTGTCAGGGAAATAAAGGATTTAAATGTTGCCACCAGCAGCAGCAGCAGGAAAGCAACAATAATTTATTTATTTTTAATTATTATTATATTTTCTTTCCGGTTCCTCGACTGTATTATTTTTCCAGAGCAAATGATTTAGTAGTTATAAGCGAATCGATTAAGAAAAACGAAAGTCATTAACTTATATATTTTTGGATAAAATCAGAATATTGCTTGCTGGAATGAGTTGTGATTGTGAAGAAGTGTTATTTGGGTTTCTGGAAATTTTTGTCTTATTTCCCCACTTAACATGCAACTAATCATTCAATTTATTCCTCTGCAATAAGATATACAAACGTATAAGTTCGGTCCATATGCGAGAACCATTTTATAAGTACGCGCGGGTGCTTCGTATTTGTTGGAATTTGGATGGATGTGATGTTAAATTTTCACCGTATTTATCCGATGGACGCAAAACACCTGAGCATAATCCAACGACTTCAAGTGCATGTGAGCACCATAGCAAAATTGTGTCATGTGTGACGTTCTCGGTTCTGACATGACTTAATGATAATTCTTCTGAGAACTAAAATACTTAGTTAAAGGATGATGATATTGGGGTGAGTTTGAGATATGTAAGTACACACCTCCGCCTTTATTTTCAAACATAAAACTCATCCATGTTAGTTCTATTTTTTGTGTACCAATTGGTTTGGTGTACCTATTAGTTTTGCAAATTCTGGACACATATAATTCCAGTAAATATCGACTTGTTCCATCCAGGTAAAACTCTAAACTCAATCCTTATGACCTACGAAATATCGAAGGCCAATTTACAATAAGTAAAGTGCACAGAACTAGGTTCATAAAATGAATTCAAAATGAACACAATGAACTAGTCACATAATCCAGTATAAATAAAACTCAAGGTTGTAGGCTTGTAGCACATGAAGACATTGAGTGTCAAATATGGAGAATAGAGTGAGAGAAGTCTTACCAAAATTTGAAATTTATTGGAAACTAATACACTGTTTTGAATAGAGCGGGGACTATTAAATTCATCTATAGATAAATCTATGTCTTATCTATAGGGATGGCAACGGATTGGGTCGGGGGCGGATAGTGCATATCCGTTATCCTACCCAAAGTAGTTCGGGTTTTACTCATACCCACACGAGAAATGGGTAGATAATTAAAAGTTAAAACCATGCTCATTCCCGTTCGGGTATCCACGATTATTTATGGCCCATGGGTAATAATTTATCCTTATAACTCCAACCGATATGTTAACATTCACACGTATACTCACATTACGTTATAGGAAAAGTACGACAATCATTCACTAGAATGGAGAAAATTAATTAACACAACACAATTTCATGAAAATATTATATTTCAACCTGAGATCCGGTTGATATGCAGATGATTCCGGTGAATACTGGCTTGGACAAAGGTAAGGAAGTGGTTTCCTCATCTCCTCTGGTTGTTCAGGGGTCTGGGGAAGTTATGATTGGGACAAATTTGGTGGGCATTGGAGACTGTTCGAAGGGTTCTTCATCTGGGACTCCTTCAAGGATGCAGGGGATTAATCTAGATACTAGTTTTGCTGCAGTGGAATGTGCTTCTCCTGTTTTGCCCTCTGAAGCTGAGTTTCAGCTTGTTGTCAATGGAGCCAAGCCTCGTATTTGGTCTCCACAGCCTAGTCCGACTAGTGTTCTTCCGATTTCTCATACCTTTGAGTTGCTAAGGTCGTTGGATGAAGGAGTTGTTGTCACTTTGCAGGCTGCTCCGAAGAAGGGTGGTAGAAAGGGAGGGTCACAGCCCTCTCCCTCTCAATGATCTTTCTATTTCAGAATGTTAGAGGGTTTAACAAACCCTCTAAGCGTAGGGACTTGTATTCAGTCCTTAGGCAGCATAAGGTAGATGTGGTCGCGGTATTGGAGACTAGGGTAAGGAAGACTAAAGCTGATGAAGTGGCTGAGGGTTTTAGGATTGTACAAATTCTTTTATGGTACAAACTTGTACTTTTATATAATGGTACAACTTCAAGTTGTAAAATTATATCATAACATAATGGTACAAATTCTTTTATGGTACATCTAAACTTATACATTTCATGTTATGGTACAACTTTAAGTTGTACATTAAAGCACCAATACTAGTGTGGGTTTGAGTAATTATAATGAAATCTGACATTGCTCCCTTTACAGGAAGAGAAATTATATGGCTGTTAGAGGTGACAATTGTATCGGATTCGTGGATTGGATTGGTAGATACATAGATCAAATAGATGGGATCCAATGGATTGATGGATTCAGAATTGGCTCAAATGGATTGGTAGATTGTCCATAAATCCAAATGACATCCAAGGCTTGGACCAAAATGTAAAATTTGAAAAGTTTTTGTACTAAAATGTCATAATGAAAATTTTTAGGTACCAAAATGTAATTTTCCAATGATATTTTCGTATAAAATATATATTTTAGGTACCAAAATGTAAACTATAAAAAATATAGATACCAAATCGTAATTTGCCATTTGTAGTACCAAACCAATTGGATACCAATTGGATTTAGATCAAATGGATTGAATTTAAATAGATTGAATTAGGTGGATAATTTGATGGATGGATTGTATTGGATTCATGAATTTGAATTCTAATCGCTGTAATGGACAATGTATGATGTCAACCGGGAACAAGAGGTGGCAGAAGGGCGGACCATTTGTTCGCCATGGTAAAAGATTATATACACAGCTGAACCAGCAGGGACCTTACGTGCATAACAGAATCGGACTGTCAAACCATTACAAAGCAAAGCTGTAAAGACACATCCAGAAATCAGATTGTGTTACATTACACAACATTAAAACCACTCTCGACGGAGAGCCCTCAAAACGCGGCCGTGCGGGGTATCCGGATCCCCACGCGCCGCCCTCTCCCGCCAATACCAACTCGCCCTCATCATCGTCTCCTCCGCCGTCTCGCTCTGCTCCGGGACCCACCCAACCACGTCAGCGCCACGGCTCTCGGCGTCCGCGGTGTCGTCGGTCTCCCTCGTGATCGGCTTCCGCGTGTCGGCGAACTCGATCTCCGAGAGAGGGGACGCCTTGTGGTGCTCGAAGTACTCCCTGTCGTCTTCTGCCGCCTCCGCCTTGCTCTGTTCCTTCCCCTTCTCCTCCGCCTCCTCCTCCGGCCAGGGCGATATCCCGGTACAGGTCACGCCGTCCAGCTGGCTTCGATCCGCTGCTGAGGTGGCGGCTGATGATGACGTGTACCTGTACTTGCTCCGCTTCTGCTGGGCGTGTGGTTCTGCCGGGTTGTGGACCCCAACGCTTTCCAGCCTGGTGTAAGATGCGTGAGGTGGCCGCGGCGGGGACAGCGGGTCGGTCTCCGAAGTGGGCCGGTGCTCCGGCTCCTTCTCCTCCCTTTTCGCGTTGTCGGGTTCCACGTGGTCTCTCGTTTCCTGCAAAGTCCGGCTCGTCAATTAAAAAGTCCTTTTGTTCAATTAAGTGTAAACACTAGCGATTAATCGTACTAATTAATTAATTACCTCCGGCTGTCCGGAGGGAACTGCGGGCTGAACCTCGCGGTCCCTCTGTTTTGAGAAAACATCTGGGTCGGCGGTGCGGCCACCGGAGGAAAATCCTCTGGCAGGGGAAGACGGAGGAGCTCTGAGCAGTAGTCTGCGACCCACTACGAGCAATCGGGATTGCTGCATCTTTTTGCTAGATTTTGGACTGAGTGGCTGCTTTGCTTAACAATAATCTTGTAAGAAAGTGGTTTCTTTTCTTCGTACGAGACCGAGAGCCTAAAAACAGGGCGACGGGAAGGAGAAGAAGATGAAGAAGCGAAGCGATGATTCGGGAAGGGACACGTAGATGCAGGTAGTGTCTTGCTGCTATGCAACGTGGCGGATGGAGAATTGGAAAGCGCTGGAGTCACCTGGAGGGAGGGAGAAGAATGGAGAAGCTGTGCTCCATGTCCATGAGCAGATCTGGTAAACAAAAACATGGGCCACAAATAGAAGGCCCAGCAGAAAATTAGTCCTTCCTAATGCTTGTTCTGAGGCTCGATGACCGGACAAAATTCAGTAGGAGACGGCCCACAGTCAAAATTCAGTCGGTTTAGCAAGCAATGTGGTTTGACCGAGATATAATTGGAATATATTCGTCTACGTTGGTTTAAAAATATATGTATAAATGTGTGAAACCATTAGTTTCAAATGAATTTAAACATATATAAAAATATATTTCAAGATGAACTACTAAAATTTTTATATATGTATATAACATATTTCAAACCCAACTACTTACAATTTACATTCATGTATAAAGCATATCTATCAATACCAATTATATTTCCAGTGTAAGAGGTAAAGTCAACACTAATTTAAGATGGAAAATCTGGAATGGGAAGCTGGAAGAGTGGTCACAGGCGTCAATGTAAAAGTTTGAATGAGAATAAGGATTTGCCGGCATGACACAACCAATTGTAGGGTAACGACAGACATCGACGTGGAAAGAAATATCTAAACTAGTAACTAGAAAACAAATTGGAAACTAATTTAAAGAAAAATATGTGAAAGAACCTACGGGAAAAGACGACCTGAAATTCATTATCTAATTACTTAACTAGCGGACCCAACAAATTTATTGATAGCTTATATTTTTACAAAACATAGTTAAAAAATCAATTAATTTTGTTAAATATATAACTTATATTATATGTATAAACAAACATATATTACTTACCCTATTAAAAAAAAACAAATAATCAATCAACATCAATTTAAGTTCATTCTCGCACTGTCCTGGAATTATTTTGCTTTTGAACACCGTCATCTGTATTATTGTTGGTCAATTTCGGATAGTTTACTTTTGGTTTCGTCTAATCAATTTCGACCCGCCATCGCCGGCCCTCTCCGGATTGTTAATCCTTCAATCCCTCCCTGTCCTGATCATCACTATAAATACGTGCTACGTCAACCAATCAAGATCATACAGCGCAAAAGTAGAAACAGAGAGCTCCCCTGTTTTCAAACACTCTCTGCCTTTTCTTCTGGCAAGCAATTTCTGCTGCTGCAGCCATGGCCGACAGCAACCATGGTGATGTGGAACTAATCGGCACTTGGCCGAGTCCATTCTCGATGCGTCCCAGGATCGCCCTCAACATTAAATCCGTTGAGTACGAGTTCCTCCAGGAGCAGGAGCAACTCTGTTCCAAGAGCGAGCTCCTCCTCCAATCCAACCCTGTCCACAAGAAAGTCCCCGTCCTTGTACACAACGGCAAACCCATCTGCGAATCCAACATCATCGTCGAGTACATTGACGAGGTCTGGCCCTCCGGCCCTTCCATCCTCCCCGCCGACGCCCACAATCGCGCCGTCGCACGCTTCTGGGCTGCTTATGTCGACGAAAAGGTACAATCTTTTTTGTCCACCGATAGCTGGAAGTTGGAACATTATCTTTTTAATCAATCAAATTTTCGCAGTGCTTCCCGAACTTGAGGGCGGCGGTAACTGCGGCGAGCGAGGAGGAGAAGAACAGGGCTGCGGATCAGCTGAAGGAAGTTGTAGTAAGGATGGAAGGAGCGCATGTAGAAGTGAGCAGAGGGAAGGATTTCTTCGGCGGGGACAGGATTGGGTTTGTGGACATTGCGTTTGGGAGCATGTTGGGGTGGTTGAGAGCCGTGCAAGTGATTCTGGGAGGAGTGAAGCTTCTTGATGAGGAGAAGACGCCTGGTTTGGTGAAATGGGCTGAGAAATTCTCTGCCGATCCGGCTGTTAAGGACGTGCTGCCTGAAACCGGCAAGCTGATCGAGTTTTCCAAGCTCCTCATTGCCGCAATCAGAGCTGCAGCAGCCGAGGATTAGAGGATAGATTATGTGTATGGGCTTTATGTTGTTTTCTTGTAGCCCTGTTTCTTCAGCTTCATGTTGATTTGAGGGACTTCGTAGCTATCCCCTTGTGCCTTACTCTATTTTGTCATAGGCAATAACAATTTAAATTCGTCCCGTCCAGTAGTACCCGACTTCATTTATGATGGTGTGGAATGAGATACGAGTACTATTTTCAATATGTCACTTCCCATCATGTTTAAATCCCGACTCGTCTTATTTCAAGTTGATTCAATATTTATTTTTATTTATTTTAGTTTTTTCTCAATTATATTTGCACCTAATGAAACTTTAAATAGGTGCAATAATTTTATCTATTAATTAATTAGACTCGATTACCAATTCTATTATCACTATTTTCATTCATGAAGCATTTTACCTTTGATTTATCGTATGAAGCATTTTCCCTTTGATTTATCGTAAGAAAAAGAAGAAAATTGTATTTATTTTCTTCATATAACACATGATAATCGATTGAATTGTCGCGATCCGTAATCGTGCAAGTATTACCCGACCTGCTTATAAAAAAAAAGTATTATCCAACCTAATTTGCATTTGGTGCGGGGCATGTAAGGGTATTGAGATATCTGCAATACCCCACCCCACCCCACCTATTTGCCATCACTAGTCATTGATCAGAAGATGAACATGAGTTTTGCGGGTCTTATTATGGTAAAAGGAAGTGATTAAGGTTCATGCATGTACCTTTTCAAACAACTCGAGCTATTGGAATTAAATAGTTTATGACATGAAGTGTTGGTTTGATCGTTAGGTCGCATGTCTAATCCCTCACAACCTCCAATATTAAAATTGACTTTGTAGAACACGTGTTGCACACAAATAAACTTATAGATGCGATAAATGAAATATTATCAATTATGGATTGGTCGTTTAGTTATGTGGATTGGGCCTAACCCGTTGCTAAAGCCCAATAGTGTAATGAGATGGGTGTCGGTCTTTATCTCAACGTCTTCAACCTTAGACCAACAAGGTGATGCACTTGTTGAGAAGCAAACACAATATAGAGGAGAGTAAGGAGAAGAAAACGTACACATGATGTTTTGTTCAACGAGTTTAGCCTATTGCTTTACGCCTCGGCTCAAAGGTAACCGAACCTTTGAGACCTATTGTGTAGGTTTTTATCTTATTCCTATCTAACTCTAAGTTGAGTCCCTTAGGGTATAACTCAAACCCTTGACAAGACTAGAGCAATATACTCATTTCTCTCTTCCTCACAAGCACTCACGCTAAAAGGAGTAACTACACAACCTCGCACAACCACTCAAGCAATACAACAGTGAACTCCTATAACTTCTTACACATATTGATAACTAATGACTCGATATTTGCACATGTTTTCCCCTTTGTTTCTTGATCATTTAAGCTCGTATTATCGCTTCTTTGGCCTATTTTACGCTAGGTTGTATTCTTTTGTCACATTTCAGGTCCTAGCACATAAAGTGAAGCATAGGCGCAAGTTTCAAGTCAATTGAAGATCAATTGGCGACTCGGGGGAAGAAACTCGGGTATGACCCAAAGAATAATAGATTTATACCTCCTTTAATGGAAAAATAATCATGTAATCTGTGCATTGAAGAAAGATGACGAGACTACGAGCGTCATGGATCAAACAGCAAAGATTCGGAGTTTGGATGAGGGAGAAATGACCGAAAGACAACATCCTCTCTAGAGTTACGGGCTGGCCTTCAAAGTTACGGCCATGACCGTAACTTGGCCATTTTGGCCGTAACTCGGGGCAACGGGAGGCAGAATGCATTCTAGAAGTTACGGGCTGAACCCCAAAGGTTATGGCCGTAACTTGGTTTCTGTGAGTTGTATAAATGCTTTTGCGGATTCTGAAGGGGGATAGCTGGGTTTTGGTTCCCAAACACCCAAGGGACTAACCAAAAAGAGAGAGAGAGAGAGAGCGATTTGAGGGCATTATTGGAGTGGAATTGGAGGATTTCTTTGCCTTGAAAACTCGAGGAACAAGCCCAGACTTGAAGACTGATCATCTGAAGATTCTTACTGCAGTCTTTCCCTTCTCTATGGAGTAACTTCCCTTCACTTAGGTTTTGAGGAACCCTAGCCATGTTTGTTTGATTGGATGATTGTATGAGTACTCTTACTTGATGATCTTGAGTTCATATTAAATCTATGCATGTTTTCATCATTCAATTCTGCTTTAGTTGAGATTATTTATTCGGCTAACCGAGAAGGAAGAAGGAGAATTAACTAGAGAAGCAGGGACGGTGGTCGATGATGGACTGGAGAAGTGGGACGTTTTCCTGAAAGCTCAAATCGAGAAGGAGAAAGAAGTAAGAAGTAGAAAGAATTAAAGAAATAAGGGGGAAAAAAGTAACGAGCACCCACCCAGTACCCATTTTAATAACCGGTAACCGGCTAACCGGTAAATCACTTGACACGATTCGGTATACCGTTAACCAGTTAGCTGGTTATCGCTTAGAAAATTATCATTTAAACCGGTTACCGACCGATTAGCATCCTAATGTAGAGTATGAGCTAATTCAAGTATCCAATCCCATTTTTGTGAATGATGCCAAGGTGGGGAAGATGGTGAAGAAAGAGTTAATAAAGGAAAAATGTCTATTTTGCAAGAGTGAGTTGGCTGCCAATTCAAGAGTTAATGGTACTTCTGCTCTTCATTCTCACAAAAATTCATTGAGAAGAAAGAGGGTGGCACAAGGTGGTCAAATGAAATAGGCTCTACTATCAAGTGGTGAAAGGACAAGAATGTTAAGCAATTGGAAATATGAACAAGGTACAATTAGACTTGCATTAGCTCAAATGGTAGCTGTGGATGAGCTACCATTTAAGTTTGTCGAACGATGAGGGTTTAATGTCTTGTTGTATTTCCTAGTTTAAGATCTCTTGTAGGAAGAGTATTAGACAAGATGGCTTCATATTTTTTGTTGAAGGGAAGAGGCAACTAACTAATTATTTCAAAATCAAGTGTGATGGTGGAGTCTCCCTTACAATAGATTGTTGGACTCCTATTCAGAATTTCAATTATCTAAGCTTGACTACTTATTTTTGTTGGAAATGATTGGAAGTTACTTACACAAGAAGATCATACGTTTTCGTCGCATTACAAGCCGCAAGAGTCTTGATATTGTCGAGACAATTGTGGGTCTTTTGGAGGAGTGGGGTTTCAAATATATTTTTGCCATCACAGTTGATAATGCAAGTGCAAATGATACTATAGTTGGCTTCTTAAAAGAGAAATTGATAAGTTGGGGTAGTAGTTTTAAGAATGAGACATATTTGCATATGCTTTATGTAGCTTATATCATCAATATGATTGTGACTGATGGATTAGAGCAAATTGGAGTAGTTGTGGAACAGAATAGGGAGTGGGTACGTGCGTCTCCTAGCAGGTTGGAGAAATTTAGTAAGTGTATGAGATTCCATCACATTGAGCGGAAGAAGATGCGTTTGCATGTTCCCACTAAGTGAATTTTTACCTTCTTAACGTTAGAGGCAGCAGAGGTGTATGAAAAGGCATTTAAACTTGTCGATATGGAGGATGGGAAGTTTAAGGTAAATTTCCTCAAGACAAAGAAGCACAAAGGCGAAACAATTGGTCCTCCAAGTGCATCAGATTGGGAGAGTGCTAGAAATTTGTGCTCGCACTTAAGATATTTTCATGAATTCACCTTACTTGTACCTGGTACTAAATATGTAAATCTCATCTATTTTTTAGGGAGATTTGCAATATTTTTCTTCAAGTCAAGACAATGGAGGATAATGAGGATGACTAGGTTAGGAATATGACACTTATAATGCATGCAAAGGTAGAAAAATATTGGTATGAGATGGAGGATGAGAATTCAAGAATGAATAGGTTGTTCTACATTGCAGTGGTGTTTGATCGTAGACTCAAGATGAAGTATCCAGCTCATTTGTTTGGATAATCATGAATGGATCAAATAATTTTTAACGATTGGACATGAAACCAAATGATGAAAAACCTTGGTTTGACTGAATAACTACTTTAGTATTTTAAGCATAAAATAAATTAAAAAAAAGTTATAACATGAACTAAACCATCCAGCCCTAATTACAAATTTTTTCATGCTTCCTCTTCTTCGTTTCTCATCTTCCATGCTGATTTTAAGTGGTTCACTACCGACTTGTGCCTTAAATATTAATTTAAATATGATAAAATTTTTGGGTGATTTATTTTGTGAGCAAGGTTAAATGATTTGCTAGAACTTTTGGTTAGGAATGATATAGATTTGAAATCGCTTATAATTAGTGACAAATTCAATTATAAATTTGTGTATTGGATATACATATTCTATTTCATGGTGTACAAACGATTCTATTAATGATTGACCAAAATTCTTCTAACGATTAATTACTGAACTAAAAACCAATAACTTTTTCAGTTCAACATCGAGTCCGGTTATAAAAAAAAGAAGCATATATATCTTATAGAGATGGCAATGAGCCAGGTTGAGCTGAGTTTTGTCAAACCAAAATCCATGATTATATCCACCAAAAAATCTCAGGGGTAAAATCCAATGGGTTTGGAAAATTCAAACCCAACTCATCCCGCTGGGTATCCGCGTGTTCATGAATATCAATGGGTTCTATAAATGCACAATAACTTCCTGTCAAAATAAAAGTCTAACATCAATCTTACTATACAAATTATTCGTACAATAAACACCTTTTAGAGCATACTAGTAAATCACAAATAATCCATACAAATTGTTCAATATTAAAGATAAACATCCATAAAGTACATAATTAATTGAAAGCTTCTTCTTCCTTGTCAACTAAACTTCTTCACTTTCCACTCCATAATATCAACTTCATTCTACTCAATTATGAATAACAAATTAGATGGGTACGGGTTGTATATGGCTAAACTTGAACCCAACTCCAACCAATATGTTAACATTCACACGTATTCTTACAATACGTAAGAGGAAAAGTACGACAATAATTCACTAGAATGAAGAAAATTAATTAAAACACCACAATTTCATGAAAATATTATATTTATATATAAAATATAAAATATGTTAGTGAAAAATAATGATTATTTCTAGACAAAATACATATGCATGTGTATAATCAGACGAGTTCGAGTTGGATAGTGAGAAACTCAAGCCCACCCATTACCCGCAATATTCGGGTTCGGGTTTTAACCGTACCCAACTAAATTTCCTTCGAATTCGGGTTTTACCCTACACGATTAGGTTGGATTCGGGCGGATATCCACGATTACGGATATGTTTGACATCCCTACCTAATGTATATACTCCTTTGGGCTAGTGGCTACGACTACGAGCCCATCCATACTCCAACTAGGACTAAAGTTTGACGGGCCTCGGCGTTAACACCAGAGTCCCAACCCAAGCCTGTAACAGAAATCGAACCCAAGAAACTCGATCTTCAAGTTTTCATGTAGAGAGGACAAATTGGCAGGCAGCAGGATGCGGTGTGCTACGCGACAACCGAACTTGACAACGCCTTCTTGAAAAGATCAAGCTTTGATTGATCAAAATAAGTTCTTATCCTTCTTTCCAAAGGGAGAAACCGACTTGATCATAAGTTCAGATAATCGAATAAAACACATAGTTATCTTGTCTGGACTGATTCGTACAAACATACTTTCTGCCGCTTAGTTGCAACTACCTCAATAATCTATTCATATCGTGTAATTGCCCCCTTTTCACTTCCCACATTTCAAAGCTGCGATCTTTGGCCTCTACGATAAGCGGAAATGGAGGAGGGCGGCGGAGTGAAGCTCGACAGGTGTGGGTACGAGGTGAAGACTTGCTCCGATGACTGTGTCGCCGCCATCAACTCTTACTACCACCAGGTTTCGCCGCCGCTGCTGCTCTTTGTTCTCCATCTCTTTTCTATGTTTTTGGGTCATCTGATCTGCAACTTGCGAATTGTGATACGGGTTCTTGTTGGCATGATTTATAATATGATTGGTGTGAAGGTTCTGAGCTACGGGAGAGGGAGGCGTGTGATTCTGGAAGCAGCTAAATGCGATAAAGATTGTGTCTTGGCCAACACTTTGGCCGCTCATTTCCTTGGCTCCGCTGATTCTCCCCACCTCCAAGCAGCAAAGGCTCGACTTGTAAGCTTCTGTTTCTCCGTCGCTGTCTTTTTTGGGGAATTTTAGCGGCTTGTATTGAATGATAAGTTGACAAGATGCCGTCGTACACCGTAATCACCCCAGGATCAAGCAACTCCGTACGAGAGAGCGGTTTTTGGAGCAGTCAGTTATCTAATTTCTGATAATAGGGACGATGATGTTGCTGTTGAACTTCATTCCAAGGTAGACTTGAAGTTGAACGTCTTTTTCCATTTGGGTCGCATTCAATTTAAGATTAGTCCACTCTTGTTTTGTACCGTTGCATTTTACTTTCTTCCTTTCTGCAATCAATTGCTTTTCTTCGTTTCTCATTTTGTCTATTGGTTTGGATCTAGTAAATTGGTAATATTTAAGCGTTTCTATCCAAAAGTTCCTTGATTTGTTTGTTATCATCTTCTTCCCAGCTTCTAAATGACTACCCTAAGGACCTGGTTTCTCTAAAAAGAGGTCAAGTACTATGCTTCTACATGGCTAGACCAGACCTGTCTTTAAACCTTGTACAAAAGGTTTGCTTTCACTTTCTGTTCTTTCATGCTTGTGAACTGTTCATTCAGTGATTAGCTGTCATCGATCAATTTCCCTTCAGTTAGACGTTTTCTTCTTTGATGATTGACTAGGTTCTTCCAAGTGCGGAGCAAGAAGATTATGTTTACGGGATGCTTGCCTTCCCGTTATTGGAGCTTGGTCGGATGGCTGAAGCTGAGAATGCTGCCAGAAAGGGGTATGAGATAAACAAGAACGATTATTGGGCACAGCATGCTGTAAGTCCCCAATTAATCAGTATGCCTCGGGTCATTTTCATTTGCGTTTTCTTCACAAATGATTGATTGTGTCACTTGGAAAGAACAATTGCTAAGTTGTTAAGCCCACTCTCTTGCTTGCTGATTGATTGTGTCACTTTGAAACAACTGTTTAATTTGGTAAGCCCACTCTCATATTTGTGTGCTGATTGATTAAATGCAGCTCTGCCATGTTTTCCAGTATCAATGTCGTTTCAAAGAAGCAGTAGAGTTCATGGAAGAATGCTCCACTTCATGGACTCCTTGTTCGTCATTTATGTGTGTACAAAGGATTATGAATTCTTTCTTGTTTGATCAAGAAAAAAATTGTATTGCCATGCGAGGCTTAATTGGTTGAATGTGCAGGCTGACACATAATTGGTGGCACGTTGCTCTTTGTTACCTAGAAGGTAATTTTAAGATAACGAAAGTTATGGAAGTCTATGATCATCGAATCTGGAAAGAGTTGGAAAGAAGTGATGCCATGCCCCCTGAGGTATGCATGCATTCTCCTCCCTCTCTCATCACTTTAACCAACGTTTTCAATCTACTGAGGCACTATTTCCTTTTGGATTGCAGGTGTACCTAAATGCTTTAGGTTTGTTGTTACGTTTGTCTATTCGAGGACTACTTGATGATATCTTTGATGATCGATTCAAGGTCTTGGCGGATCGTGTAGCAGATGAAGTGGGTAACTGATCTTTTTGTTTTGTTGACTAGTTGTTTGACTATTGTATTCTATGGCATGGTAATTATGTTTTGTATCCCTGATTAGGCAAATTGGTTTTTGGAGTGGCACCTTGATGTGTTGATATTGTGGGCCTTGACGAAAGCTGGTAAAATTTCTAAGGCAGAAGGTCTACTCAATGGCTTGAAATCCAGGTAAAGGCTCTTCCTTTCACATCATATGCTGTCAAACCATTGAATTTACTAACTGCAATTTCATTTTATTGTCAGTAGAATTTCGAAGATGAACAAGAAGAAGCAGCAAGTGATGCAGAAGGCAATACTGGTTTGTGCATTCTGTTCTTAAAGCTGCTTCCTTTAGCTTCCCTGCTACCATATTGCTGTCATACAACTGCTTGCTTTTCCTGTTTATGCAGCTTGCAGAAGCCTTGTATGAATACACCAAGGGGAACGACAAACAAGCACTGGAGCTACTCGGTCTGGATTTTGATGTCAATGGTTGCAAGGTGTTTCTCATTTGAATTTGCAGTCTCTACCCTTTTGCAGTTAACTAGTGGGAATCTAAAACCCGGGCTGTTCCGTGTTTAGATAATTGGAGCATCTGACGAGCAACTTGATGTGTTCCACGAAGTTTGGTTCAGCATACTGCTGAATACTGGCGAAGGAACCAAAGGTATATATGATGGAAATCCTTTCCCTTTAAGGATTACACGACGTTGAGGGTTCGTCTCTGTTAACTCTGTTCCCACGCTTGCAGCAATCGGAGCAATCGAGAAGCATATCAAGAAGCGGGATGGAACCCCTTTCACATGGCGCCTACTGGTATATCATCACAGTTTAGCCCATCACATTCTTGCAAAATCTCATCTCTCTTTCTTATGGCCCTGCTTAATTGTTCTGCTTCTTGATTCAGGAGAGAGGGTACCGGAGAGAGGGTAGGGAAGAAGATGCTGCATCAGTTGCCGACAAGGCAACATCACTGGAAGCTGCCTACTTCAACTAGGGAGTAGATTACCGGAGGAACAATCGTTCACCCCTTAATTGGTCTCTTCTTGTACTACTGAGTACTGACTAATACACCACAAACTCAAAAAGAACAGCAAAGACTACAACTTAATAAATATATTCTGGAAATCGCACCTTTTCTCATCCAACCATTGTTACTCGATTCCATATCATATTAATTATTACACTTGCTTATAATGCCAAGAAATTGATCAGAAAATTTAGGGATTTAGATTTCGAAACAGAGGAAATCGAAGTGAAAAGGATAAATGAACGAAGAAGAAGATAGGGAAACTGCAACGCGTCTTCTTGTTCTTTTCAAAAATAATTGGGCTTGAATCAGCAAAGCCCACGACAAGAAACAAAAACTACTCTAAACAGTTATTGAATAATTGAAAGAAAGATTTGGGCTTTGGAGCAGTGCTGTCAAAGCCGAACCGAGCCGGCCGGCCGGACCGCCAAAGCCGCCACCCGGCCGTAAAACCGGCTCGGATCAGCTATTTAACCACCACGGTTTTATACAGCGGCCGGCGAGCGGCCGAAGCGGTTAACCGCTCGAGCCGGTCGCGCGGTTCAGCCGTTTGGTTTACCCTAAAAAAAATTAGAAAAGGCCAATCGTGGAATCTGTCGTCAACACCTCTTGTCCCGGCATCGCCATCCCCAGTCGACATCGCCATCGCCAGTCCTTGTTGTAGCAAGCCGCTCCCCGCTCCCGGCGCTTCCATCTCGTCGCCACCGTCGCAAGCAGCTCCCCGCTCCCGGCGCTTCCATCCCGTCGCCATCGTCGCAAGCAGCTCCCCGCTAAGCTGCCCTGTCTCACCAGAGGCTTGGATTGAATCCGAGCCATTTCGCGGATTGGGACGAGGAAGAGCATTTACGGGTTAAGAAAGGATGAGGAAGAATTGATTGTGGTGATGGATTTTTGAGGAATTGAAGAAGACTATAGTGGCTGAAAAATGAAAATAGGTGCGACGGTGGGAGGGGGGATGGGGAAGCGGAAGGAAGGAGAGTGAAGGGTGGGGAAGTGGCGCTGTCGCTTAGGATTAGGTTAGGGCTTTTTTTAGTTGCTGTATATAAATATGTTGTGTAGAATTATTAAATGGTACATGTAATTATCATTTTTACTCATTAAATCATTGAATTATTACTTTATGTGTGTTCTACTATGATATTATATTGTTTATAATGTACCGGTTTTCAAACGGTTTTTAAACGGTCTAATGCCAGCTGAACCACTAATGACCAAGCCGTTCCCGTTACCGGGTCATACTCCGGCTCGGCTTTGACAGCATTGCTTTGGAGGATTAAAGCCCAGCACAAGGTCCTTGACTCTGTTTTCTTGAGCTCTTCTTCTTCCTCGGACAGAGTCCTTAGAAGCAGAGACTTCGGCAAGAACAGGGCAAGGAGAGCAGACTTGAGATGAAAAGAAAACGCAGCAGGTCTTCAAGTCCTTCCTCAATAGCTGCGGCAAATTCAGAATTCGAGTGATCACTGGGAGCAGAATCTGAATCAGTTCCATAAAGATCTTGAAGAGGAGCTGCAAAAGGCTCCAGAACTGCGTCACCATCGTCACCAGGATTGGAGTCGGAGTCAGATATCCAGATCAGGTTGATGATGGAAGGCTCCTACCCCCCAATCGCAATCTCCAGTTCATCAAGCACGTCATCAGCTGTGAGCCACAAGGTAGGGGACTCCGTGCGAAATGGCGAGAGAGAAATAGGCAAGGCCAACAGGAGCTGAGTGATGCGAGCCGTGAATGGTAGCGGTGCAAGGTGATTGTGATCAACAATGGGGTGAGCCGTGAGCACTTGCAAAATTGCAAGTGTGTATTTGATGTGATGGAAGACACAAGCATAACGTGGATCGAATAACTATTACATTATAAAATACAGAACAAGTTCTATTTACATGATAAAATAACTATTGGCTTAATTGCAAGTTTGGTCACTAAGTTTATTAAAAAGGTTCATGTTTGGTCACTAAAAATATTTAATTCCATTCGTGCTCACTAAAATTAGTTAAACATTTCAAATTTGGTCACTCTCCGTCCAACTCCGTTAATTTTGTTTGACGTGGCAGTCAACTCTCAAAGTTGACCGCTAACTGAGTGACGTGGCAATTGAAAAATAATAAATAAATTGAAATTTAATATGTTATAATTCCAGCTCATTTTCATTATATAATAAAATAAATAAAACATAAAAATTTATTATAATTATTATCAAATTGAAAGTAGGCGCTGGGAAGCCGGGTCGGAATCGAAGCTTTTCTTCACGCCGGCGCTCCCAAGTCTGGGCCGTCTCGCCATGACGGGGTCGGAATCGGAGACTTTCTCCAGCGTTACTCCCTGGTAAATCCCAGTTTGGTTCCCGATAAAACTTCACGATTGGAAAAATATTGTTTCGATTAGGGTTACGGAGAAGCTTTTTCGATTACGAAATGGTTGTTTCCTTCCTTTTCTTTCTGTTTTCAGTTTCTCTCAGGGCAATCAAGCTTGAAGCAAAATAGAGCACGATCTATTCCAGTTGTGAGAACGAAGACTTGTTTTGTGAAGGAGGTCATGGAAAGCAAGAAGCCGAGCGTCAATGGCTGGAGAGCGGCTGAGCGTGCGAGGATTCTGTTGGAGAGACTGTGCACTCAGGCGCAGCAGAGACTTGAAGAACAGACGGGCAGAGATTTCGATTCTGAGTTCTCCAATGGTTCATATATGGAGATCTTGGTATCGCGGGAGTATTTGTCGAGGGAGGGAAGGGGACTATGGGCGAGCTGCGTCGTGGAACTGGCATAGAGATTTGCAAACTACGGCGGCGGCAGAGTAGGAGAGTCCTGCCGCCATGGTAGCTGGATTGGGACGGTGAGAGATGGGGGAGAGGGAAGACCACATCTTCTCTGTGACTGTGAGTGGGCTTTTTTTTTTATGGGGCGAGTGGGCTTTTAGGTTACTGGAAGAACAATAAACATATAAAATGGAGATCTTGTAATTAAAATAATTTTTTGTTTTATTTATTTTATGTAAAAATGAGTTGGAATTTTGTAATATTAAAATTTATTTTATTTATTGTTTTTTAATTGCCACGTCACTCAGTTAACGGTCAACTTTAAAAGTTGACTGCCACATCATATAAAGTTAACGGAGTTGGACGGAGAGTGACCAAATTTGAAATGTTTAACTAATCTTAGTGACCACGAATGGAATTAAATATTTTTAGTGACCAAACATGAACCTTTTTAATAAACTTAGTGACCAAACTTGCAATTAACCCGCAAATTTCAGAATACAGTAATTTAACTGAATCGCTATTCGTCGCCCTAAAATTTAAAAAATTTCGCCCTAAATCATATTACAATAACGTTTATACCCTTATTTTCAATTTCAATTCCTACCCTTAACTCCCCCGCCACCGCCAGCCAAGTTCCGGCCCCACGCTGCCATTCACATCTCCCATCCCCCATTTGAGTAGGAGATCTAGATCTCCCTCCATTTGGTAGCTAATCAAGTCCCCCAATTCTAGTCATTGACCTTACCGTTAAGAATAAGAGTTGGGTTAGCTAAGCTATTCATGGGAGCTTGGAATCGAACTGAATCATGATCCTAACCTAATGGGATGAGTGAAGCAGGATGGAGCATCTGTTTTGGTTTGAGGTGATGGAAGAGATCCGAAAGTGGGTGGAGGACAATAAAGCTTCTTTTTTTTTAGCTAATCGAGTACCCTGACCGGCCGACCTGCTGTAGCTTTTTTTTTCCACTTGATAATCACCGGCGACGGGCCGACCTGTCCCGAGCTCCCTGGCGACGGGTTTTACCCCACTGGTGAAAGTAAAATTTAACAACTAAGGACATTATTGTAAATTTAATATAATTAGGGCGACGAATAAGGATTTTTAGGGCGACGAATAGCAATCCCCTAATTTAAACTCTAAAGAAATATAAAATCACTACTAACAATCCACAAAAATATAAATCACTACTAAAACTAAATAAATAAATTAAATAAATTTTAAATATCGCGGATCCATTTTAGCTCGAAACTTTGTCTCCTAACACGTTCCTTACACGGATATAAATAAATTATGTATATATATATATATGGGAACTTTTGTTCTCCCTACTCCCAAGCTAGCCATGGCGACCGAGAAGTCAATCATGATGAGCCCTTGTCCTTTCGGCGAATTGGGAGATGATCTCTTGCTAGGAGTTGTTAGTCGTCTCCGGGACTACATATCCGCTTGCCGATGCAAATCCGTGTGTAAGCGGTGGAACTCGATTATCTCCGATCCCTACTTCTCTCACCGATTCGTCGCTCACAACAAGGGCCGATCCGCCGGCGACGAAGAATTACCACCCCTTGTGACTCCCGACGACATCCGGAGATGGATCTTGAGCTTCCTGCCAGTGCCCACTCCAATCCAGTTCTGCCTCTCCGTTTTTGACTGCTTCAGGGACTTGCTCTTGCTCTCGTTTGCGCCCCTGATGGACTACCACAAACTGGTCCGAACGTTCCTGGTCTGCAATCCGTTTACAAAGCAATGGGTTGCCCTTCCTTTAGCGCCTCCAAGGCCGATCGGTGGCCGTGTATCGATTGCGAGGCTGGTGTGCCGTCCCTCTAGTTCCGTCGTTACTTTGGATGCAGGGGACGTTAGCAAGCCAGCATTGACGCATCACTTTGAATATGAATTTCGGGTGGTGCGGATGTCCAGATTCAAATCATCAGTTTCAGAGCTAGATGTGTTCTGTTCCAAATCCGGGGAGTGGACCATGGTGGCTCTTGATCTTGGCGGCCGATTAACACCACGATGGGGTCTCGCCAACACTGTTGTTTCGCTGAACGGGAAGTTGTATTGGATGAACACCGGAAGCCAAGTTATTAGGTGGAACCCTTTCTCACTGGAAGTAGAAGAAGAAGAAGATCATGATGCACTTCGAATCCCTCGAGGAGTTTCGGACTCCGAGATTGAGTTCTGCCTCTGCGTCTCACAGGGTGACTTGTGCCTGTTTTTCATAGATGGCGTGACATTTGAGAGTCCAAGAGATGTCCTGAGTGTTTGGAGACAAGGTTATGGCAGACGAGGCTGGAGGAGATATCATCAGGTGGCGTTGAACAAGTTAATGTCTAGGATTGTTTACGACCAACATGGTCGCGAAATTAGACGTTTCGAGTTGGAGTTTTCGAATGTAGTCGGCCAGCATCCCGAAAAGTCAGAAATTGTGTTGGTGGAATTTTTGTATCCTAATGGCCAGATCGGTGTCTACTCCTGCAACTTGAGGACAAAGGAGCTCAAGTTCTTGTTCGAACAGAAGGATTATTTCCAGGGTCACATGGTGTTTCAGCCTAAGGTATCTCTCTGGCCTACTCAGTTTTCAAACTACGAAAAATTGCGAGGCTGCTACGATGGAAGCTACAGTGGCTGGGTTCAATCAAGCAACCAGTCAACCTCATGAATCCAACTCTAATTTTCCTCACCACTACATCCTGGATTAGAATTGACGAGGAAATTAGTATTATCATTTTTTAGTTTGAACAACTAGTTTTGTGTCTTCCCTTTGGATGGGATATGCATATTATCTCTTTAAAAGAACAAGTTACAAGTTTACTGTTTCTTAGAGTCACATCCCGCCACTGTTACTCCTTTTGCTTTTTTTGCCCTCTTGTATCTGACTGACATTTTCTCTGATGCGTTCAGGCGGCTCCCATCAAACCAATGGCACATCACTAAAAGTACTTATTTTGTAATTGATCAAAGCTTAAGGACCAAAAACATAATTATGTTCTCATCTCTCTCCTGTATTTGTTCTCATCCACTTGTTTTTCATCTCTCTCCCATAACCCCTTCCACCAACCAGTCAATGTTCATCTCTCCTTTTCTCTCATCAGAAGAAGAAGAAGAAGGGAGAAGAAGAAGAGGATGAAGAGAAGAGGAAGAATGCAAAGCCCGACCACCTCAATCGTGCTCTCCCTCTCTCTACGATTCAGCTTCTATGTTGTTTCTTTCTCTCTCTGCGAGCCCAAAACTCCGACATCGGCGAGCCAAAACTCCGACATCGGCGATGAATCGGCAAGTTTGTCGAGGAAGGAGAGACGGCTGGATATAGTGAGTTTTCCTGACGATGGCGCTCTTTTTCTCAGAGAGGTTTCAACAGGGGAAAGAAGGAGGAGTGTTGTGGGAGGTGAGTCGATGGACTCTAAGTGAGGCTGGAGGAGACAACAGCGAGGGGAGAGGGTGTGGTCTTCGGCGGCCGGCGGGTGGTGGGGATAGTTCTAGGTTTTCCTTGCGTTGAAGGAGGTTAGGTTGGAATAAACTTTTGGTGGTTCCGGCAGTGACGGAAGTGATGCTGAAACAGGAGGCGATGGAGCAAGAAGTAAAATTACTTGAGAATCTCAATCAGGTATGGGTGTGAAGCCGGTTTCTGATTTCTGTTTTGCTTTTCATTATTAGTTTTTGGGGTTTATTTGTTGCTTTCTAGCCTACTACTTTATCCTCTCTAGCTTATGAGAACAAGTAAAAAGCAAAAAAGTAACAGCTAGCGGCTTTGCTGAACGTAATTTCGTCAGACGTTGCTCGTTCGTGATTTGCGCATCCATTTTGACTGTCCCAATTTTCTACATTTCGACTGAATCAAATATCCAGGGTGCCGGATTTGCTGCTACATAGGAGCTCAAATTAGATATACTCTGGCTTGCCCGGAATGTCGGGCTCCTCTTCTTCGGATACTCCTTCTTCGTCATCGTCTTCGGCAATAAGAGCTTGGAGGACTGCCTTTCTGACTCTCCGGGACGAAACCCTAACGAGCAGCCCTAAATCGAAGTCAATAACGCAACTTCTCAATGATCTCATTTTCTCTCATTTCCGGGCTCTCATGTCTGCCGCCCCCGACCTTCCTCCTCACGAGGTACACTGCAATTTGATGCTGTTTATGTTACTGTACAAGTGCTCATTGGATAATCAATATAGAGTTTAGTCGACCACTGCATCTTTGTAATTGCTCCTAGCACTCCATGATAGAAATGAATAAAGACAAAGTTCAATGGGGAACCTCATTACTAATTTTGAATTTTCAGGTGACCTCTGATCTGCTGTTCTTAATGGAACTGGCTGCAAGTTCTCCAGGCGGCCAAGATGTGTCACCTATCTATGTTTATGTTTCCTCTTTGGTACTCCTTCGTTTTTTACTGGCTCTATTGGCTTCTCCATTTCAGGCTTAGCATATTCAATGTTACATGGTTTGTTTGCTGCTACCCAGGTGCATGATATTTGCAAGCTTCAACGTGTGACTCTTCAATTGAATTCTTCTTCTTGGGTTGTTGTGATCAACTGTTTCTCCGCTATGGTGCACTTCTTCCTCGGCCAAGCTGGTTCCAGACCCCAATTTTCGTTGGGGCACGCTGTGGAATGCTTGGGGACCGTAAGGTATTAGTTCTTGGTTCTTCACTCTGTCAGCTTGTGCACTCACTTGGCCTATTTTCCAATAACTTAATCTATTACTGTCTATGACTAGGTTTGGGCTTTTCTGTTTGCCAATAGTGTCTACATTTGTCTTCTTATTTATTATTTGATATGTTATGTGACTGGCGTGCTAAACTTTGAATACTTTATGCTGTTTCTTGAATCCCCAGATGTCTGGCCTCCATCTATCAGCCGAAAAGTTTGCTATCAGATGATGTCCACTTGGCAAAGTTTCTTCTCGGAGTAATTGAAAGTTATCATGCTCAGTGCCTGTTGTCAACTTGCACGAGCACCAGTGAAAATGTTGCGCTCTTCAATTGAATTCTTCTTCTTGGGTTGTTGTGATCAACTGTTTCTCCGCTATGGTGCACTTCTTCCTCGGCCAAGCTGGTTCCAGACCCCAATTTTCGTTGGGGCACGCTGTGGAATGCTTGGGGACCGTAAGGTATTAGTTCTTGGTTCTTCACTCTGTCAGCTTGTGCACTCACTTGGCCTATTTTCCAATAACTTAATCTATTACTGTCTATGACTAGGTTTGGGCTTTTCTGTTTGACAATAGTGTCTACATTTGTCTTCTTATTTATTATTTGATATGTTATGTGACTGGCGTGCTAAACTTTGAATACTTTATGCTGTTTCTTGAATCCCCAGATGTCTGGCCTCCATCTATCAGCCGAAAAGTTTGCTATCAGATGATGTCCACTTGGCAAAGTTTCTTCTCGGAGTAATTGAAAGTTATCATGCTCAGTGCCTGTTGTCAACTTGCACGAGCACCAGTGAAAATGTTGCGGTCTCAACTGGCAAGAGGTTATCTAAAAGCAGTCAGTTGTGGGAAGTTCCAACAGCCGCATTTACTTTGCTCAGTGAAGCATTCACAAGAATCGGGTCTTCGTTCCCCACTTATATTTGGCAATCTGCTATGGAGGTGTGTTGCGGGCTTGACTGATTTGATGGTTTTTGGGAAAAGAGACTGATATACTTTTTTCCCTCCGATCCATAACCAGGTCATTAGGAAAGTGATGGACGTCTTACTGTCTCAGAACTTCCTTGTTGAAGGTGCTCCTGCGACAAGGTTTTTAGAATTTATCCGTCTGAACCTAATAACAATAGATGCACTTAAACACACATTACAGTGCACAACCTTATGGCTTTGATTCTGTAATTCATGTGCACTACAAGTATGATGATGCACTTTTTTGCAGGTTTTATGCTCCGCTCCTTGGATTTCTACATCTGGTTCTTACCAATGCTAAGGGTTTTCAAAATGACCATGTATGTGAATCTTTGCTGTCAGGTTTGAGGATTATTTTCCTGATATTAGGAATGTTGTGTGCCTTACAGTATGGATACTTGTCATCCTCACAGGTTCCTGCTTTTGTGGCAACTTTGCGAATGTTCTTTACGTATGGCCTGTCACAACCCTTATACTCCACTAATGCTGGCACACATAAGAATGCTGCTAAATTGATTTCAGAAGACACTAAGAAAGAGCGTATTCCGTATCGCCCTCCTCACCTGCGCAGAAAGGAAAATGTAAACATGAAGCAGCTTAAAGCTCAGGAATTATCTTGTTCCTCACTTCCTCTGATCAAGAGTCTTTTGCATTGGAACTTATTTCATCAGATTCAGATTGCAGTGACAGTGATGGATCTGTTAAAGATAATGATACTATTAAAAGTTCAAAAGTCAGGACTGCTGCTATAGTTTGCCTACAAGTAAGTATTTTCTGCTATCCTCTCATCAGCGCTTGTGATGAAAATGCATATGTATAATGTATTTGTCACTATGTTTGTAATTAAAAGAATGCTAATACTCTCAACATTTTGCTTGTTTCTTGGAGGATCTTTGTCTAGCTGATCCCAGATCCTTTACCACTCAGTGGACTATGATTTTGCCTACAACTGACGTACTAGAAACAAGGTAAGATCATCACAGGATCACTTTGGTTATTTCTTGTGAGTTAATTGTTCCTTGAGTAATTGAGTGTTCATTAATGCGCAGGAAGTTTGAAGCTACTCTGTTGACTTGCTTGCTGTTTGATCCTTATTTGAAGGTATTTACTGGGTTGTTTATTGGACTTGGATTGTTTTCCAGCAGAGATGAAACATGCTGGCCCTGCTTCCAATTCTTAGAATCTTGATTTGCCTAATTCTTCTTAAAATTAGGATTAAGGTGTGATGATCGACTTCCTTTACTGTTGGTATGATAATTGATACAGGTACGGATGGCATCCGCATCCACTCTGGCAGTCATGCTGGATGGCCCTTCATCAGTTTTCCTGCAGGTAGCTGAGTACAAAGAGTCCAGCAAGAGGGGGCCGTTTATGGCCCTGTCAAGCTCACTTGGACTTATACTTATGCAACTTCATACTGGTAACAGAGAGAATTCTGTCGTGGTTGAGTTACATTTGTGCTGACTGTGATTTTTGACATTTGTTGCTTGCTGCTTACATGCTTCGTTCTGGTTTGCTGTGTTTCAGGCTTGCTGTACTCAATCCAGCAAGAAACTCATAGTAGATTGCTAGCATCCCTGTTGAAGATTCTTGTGCTTTTAATATCAGCCACACCGTATGTATTCTGTAGCTCACAAGCTTAGCGTATTTTCATCCATTTTATTTACTATATTTTAGTAGCTTCGTAAGATTACATTCAACCTGGGAGAATTTAATTCCGGTTATGGTTTTGGAGTCAAGCTTACTTCTTGCTGGTTACTTGTGTCTCTCTTACAAGAGGAACTCATGTAAAGCTTGGCCAGAGAGATAGATGGAGAGAAGCTTTAATTTCAAGTTTGAAATTGAAACATGATTTTTCTTGACGGGCCTGTTTTCCTGATGGACTCATTGAAGAAGGTAAAGAAATTGAACCAGGGAGATGGGTTGTGGATTCCTGGACTTGGTCAGTTGGAATTGCCATCAAAGAATTAGTACAGTATAGGAATTGCTCAAGTGAAGGAAGCCTTCTCCTCGGTGAGTCCTTTAATAGTGACAACATTGTGGATTTAGTTTTTGGTTATTGTCTCCATTTAACTCTATGACTGATGAACCAGCCTGTAATCCACCTTTGGAGATACATAGTGACCACGGAGAGCACTTGAGTGGTTCTTGCTACTGGTTTCAGCTGCCATTTTAGTTTAGGTGTATATGTTCTTAGATAAGTTATCCCTAAGTATCTTCTAAAAGGGATAGAAACAATAGAAGCTATCTCACTTTGTTTGGGTTTGAAAGCGGACTCTGCAGACAGTTACTTTCTACAGATTGCATTGTATGATCTCATTCTTTTTCTTACTCATGACTTCAGTCTCATTGCAGTTGCCTCCCAGAAACATGATCTGAAGGAGATGGGCAAAGGTAAGTGAGAATTAGGCTCAGAGACTGAAGTATCATCAAGTGGAGAACAAAATGATAGGAACATCGAGGAGTTGTTAAGAGTAGGTGCATCATTTTTCCATTTGGTTTGCTTAGTCTATTTCCAGAATTCTAGATCTCATTAATGGTAAGATTCTTTGTGAACCAGCTTGAGTTGTGTTCAACTAATTATTTGTTCTTTTTGCAATTCTTTTCATTAAAGGCAGACCATGACGTTGTATGTTGTGTTTCAGTATGGTCTCTGTAATCTTTGTTTCCATCTCACAGTACACACATGAATGTTAGGTTACGTTGAATGTTAAGTTCAGTCGGGTTTACGTCGTTTATAAATTTATTTATTTTTTACTTCATATTAGCTGGTTTCTCCTGTCTACATAGGATCTCTCTATGTGTGGTTGGTTTAATCCTTACTTGAATCCTACTGCCACATGAGAGCTGAGTTTGGGGTTTGATGGGAAGGAAGATTAGAAGAGTACACCAGGATCCTTAACTCTCTTAAAATCAGTGGGAGAGGTTAAGTCAGCAACTAAATTGCTTCAAAATCTTGGTTTGCTTTGTTTTGGTTTCAGCTGGTGATATAAGAATACTGAACTGAATGCCCTGAGTTACATTTGAGTGCCACTTAGTAGATTTGTTGTTTATTTGGCCTCACTGGATACTCTTTTATGTTTCTAGCAATCAGTTTGGTTACTATGCAAGTTTACTTGCAATGCTGATGGTTATAGTTTCCCTGTTGAGCAAACGAGTTATATTGGGGGATTTGAAGTTGCATATCAAAGCCTGCTGCATTGAAAAATCCATCTATTCTACTTTCTGTCTTTAGATTTCCATATGCAATTGCTTGCTTCTACAGCTATCTAAAGTCTTTTCAGTCGTTCTTCATTTCAGCCAACCTGCCTCTATATGATGTTCTTTTACTGCTTTACTAATGGAATTGCCTTCACAAGGATACTTCTATTTTTTGGGACTATACTGACTACTCATGTCAACCGGTTAATTTCTTCAATTCTTAGGATCCTTCTCTGTGAATTAATTGGTTCCTACAAGGCCACAACTAGATACTTCCTATAATTATGTTTACGCTTTTTAACTCTTTGTGGGATATCTAGATTTTAATTAAAAGGCTTTGGATAATGCATTTCAGTAGCCATGCCTGTATCTTTAAATTTGATTATGCCTTTTTTTGGATACTTTGGTGATTATGCTTGGTGTTAGTGATCTCCTCTCTCTATTTCTTCTGTTTTTTATTTAGGTTTCTTCTCTTTGCGTAGAGGGGTTAGAGGTTTGTCTAGGAATTAAAAAAAAAACCTTTCTGTTTTTGTAGCAGGGGATGCTAGAAGAGAAAGATAACCCTGTTTCAAATCTTAATCATAGCCTAAAGGAGTTTAGAGGTTTGCCATTGATTTTGGGTCGACTTCTTTGAGTTTTTTATGGAAGATTCGGAGTTCAAATTGCATGTGAGTTTATATGTTTGATGTCATGTGTGATTAGGGTTCCGTGCTTTTTCTGCGTTCAAGCTCTCAAGTGGAATTTAAGTGGTTTATACATGTTGTAGATTTTATAGCAGCTATTTATTTGTAGATACAGTTTTGTCAGTCAACAAAAGTGTGTTCAAACAGGCCAAAACCTTAAAGTACGTGTCTATACTAAATAGCAATTAACATCCTTGCTAACTAAATATCTCTCCCTTATGATGTTAAGTTTCTTCTCTTTTTGTTTTCAATCTTTGATTCTTTCTATGGTTTTAGTTTATACTCCCTTAAATTTTTCCACACCTCTGCCTGCAGCTGAAATAGAGGGTGAGATGTACAGGAATCTTGGTTGTGAGGGGTGAGTGAGCCTATGCAGGATGCAAACCATTGGTACAGGGGACGAGGATGCCAACAAAGAGTGATCAAGAAGCTGAATGAAGTTTTAAGGGAGGAAGCAAGGAACCATTTGAGAAGGGCGCGATGACTTACAAAGTATTTCTTTATGGTTGCGAGGTGAATTCTCCATAACTCTTTTTAGTTTTCCAGACCGGGTCTTTCTGTGTTTGGTTCTAGATGGAAAAGTGTTAAAAGTCTTAATGCAACAACTTTGAAGTTCTATGTTTGCTGGTGGTCTAGGTGAATCAGATTTCTCTCTTGGAACTGACTTTTGTTGAGCTTATAAATTTTGTGCTTCCTCTTACTTATAAAACCTAGGATGTTGATTAGGACAGAAGAGTCTGTTTGTAACATACTAACAATTTCATATGAATCCTTTTTGTTCTAAAAAATGTGCAGCTCCAGGAAAAGCTCCTCCAAGTTGCCATCCCAGAATCCAAATGCTGGGTGCGAGCTTACAGATCTGACTCCTTTCAGAATGAGATGACACAGATAAAGGGAAGGAGGTATAAAGAGATTTATGTAAAGTGAAATGGAAAAGAAGGTGAGGATGAGTTATTTTATGTATATAAGCCTCAATTCGCATATGTAAAAGGAGTGGTTGCATCGATCATAACAAAACTATTTAGTTATTTCAGAGTTTCACAACTTGAGCCTGATTTCTCTTTTCTTTAGCCTTGAAGTTCGCTCAAGATTTAACAATATAACTTGGTTATAGGTGTTTTTGATTTATTAGAATAATGAGAGCAGAAAAGTGAGTGAGACTAAAGTTTACTTATATTTAGTGTTGTCTTTTTGCAGTGATTGAAGTTTACAACACTGCAAAACTGACGGAGGTAAGACTTTTTACAACATTGATTCACAGTACTTTGTTAAATGATGTTTTGGACTTTTTTTCTCGATGGTAAGTAAGGGTTTCAGCTCCAATTGTTCTCGGAGTGGGTATATAATCATTGACATTCATTTACACGTACATGTGAGAGTGAGTATATAATACTCAATCACATGCTCATGAAATGTGCTGCAGTAGCTGTTATTTTTGCTAATTTATCTTTATTATTACCAGGGTTCCAGTTTTGAGATATCCTGAATGAAAAATTACATCTCCTAAGACATGGTCAGAGGTATGGTATCACTTTATTGGCCTATCAACTTGACCGTTTGAGAACTAGATTTTGATTCACATGTTAGCGACCATCAACTTCGTTTTCAACTTTGTTGGTTGTTCTGTTGCAGGAGTTAGGCAACTCCATTGCCTTCTTGAAGTGTTCTTAGGATATCATATAGACATGAATGATCGAGATTGAAATGAGTTTTTTTTAGCAATGTTAGATGGTGTTAGCATGCTTGTGATGGGGAGATTGTTAGAGGTTTCAATGATGCATTATTTTACCTGTTCTAAACTGACCTCATTCTAAATTTAGCTAGCAGTCTTTCTTTCACGAAGCAGTAGTGGAAATCAAATTCGAATATAGCTTATGAGTGTTCTTTTCTCATGAGGAAGGGGACGATACAAAAGAAGAAGCCAAAGAAGAAAGAATGACAAGCCATTGAATGGCGAACAGGAGCAAGGAAACAGTGAGGATTCAATGGGGAAACTCAAATTCCATGGATTTGAGTACTCTTTAGACTGCTACAATTTCATATTTTCCTGTTTACAGATAATTTATATTATGTGTTTTTTTAAGAAATATTTAGTCTTTGGAATCTGGTTTGTGTAGAGTTGAAGTCTGAGTTGACAATGGTTTCCTTCTTTCATTTGGGAAGGATTATCTTTTGGTCTTACTTTTACAATATTTGTTTAGTTTGTTTTGTCGATTTCATTGACTCTACATTTTATTCACAATACCCATGTTACTTTTGTGATATAGCTTGCGAGTAGAGCTCGATTTGGATATTACATTTTTTATTAGCTTATCGTTTCATAGCAAAACATGAATGAATTATTGCTCAGCCACGTAACCATCTTTCCAGTGCAATTTCCTTGCAACTTACACTAGATTATTACCATCTGTGTCCAACATTTGTTATCAAATTGGAATATATGGATGCAACTGATAAGTTTACACATAAGAACATGTAGTTAAATTTGTTGGCAAACTTACAAATCCCGCCGCGGAGCGCGGTTTCCATAGTTATTATTATTTTATCTCTATAAAAGAACAAATAACCAAGTTACTATTGCATATTGTCCTGTCACAAGGGTTTTTTTTTGTAATTAACCAAAGTTTGTGGTGCCTTTTTTGCAGTAAGGTTTTAATTAATTCTTTTATGACAATTGAATCCAGATTGAACCCAAATAAATTGATGTTCGATCAACTTTGACCCGGTTAAAGCGAGCTTAACCCGATGTTGACGAATTTTGCATCAACAATGAGTTTTTCACGCTTAAATTTCTTAAATTAACCAAAACTTGAAAGAGTTCTTTACATTAAGGTTCTAATTAATTAACGTATGACAATTGAATCCATATTGAACCCAAATCAATCGGTATTCGACCTACATCGACCCGGTTAAAGCAAGTTGAATCCGGTGTTGACGAATTTTGGCTCAACGAGTTTTGCAAGCTTAAGTCGATGTCCATTTCTTTCGACCTAATGTCGAACTGGTTAAAGCGAGTTGAACCCTGTGTTACCGAATTGTATTCGACTGTATTCAGCACGGGTTTGATTGGTCTTTGCTTGCAAATTTTTCGTTGTGTCGACCTTGCAAATGTTTTGGGTTTCTGTTTTTGGATTTTGTGGCGAGTTTTATCATCATTCCCTCGACCCAGTTAAAGCGAGTTGAACCCGATGTTGCGAATTTGTTGCTAACCACAGAGCCTTTTTTGTAGGTTCTAATTAATTAACTTATAACAATTGAACTCGAATTGATCCCATAATCAGACTACACTAACCATTTCCGCCACATTTCCTCGACAGAGTCTTCACGACCATGGTTTTACTTAGGATGTGCATTTTGTTCTAATACAGCAAGGGAGTTTCCAGGTACTGCTGATTTTTGGTGTGAAGAGAATGGCCAATTGATACCTCAGGAAACCCAAAATTGGTCAGTTTAGCATCAAACAGTTTTTTCCCATTACGAGTTCCAAAATCAGTTAAACCCTTAATTTCTGACACATTTTTCCAGCTACAAAATCCATTTAGCGGTGGGGGACATTACTGGTTCCGCATGATTCATTATGCTTGGGAAAACCGCTGAATATTTGCTTCATCATCAGTTTTCCTCTCTGTTTCAGTTTCATTATAGTCTCTGTTTCGCTCTCTCTTGCTGATTTTGTATTGGTTTCTTTGTTCTCTTTGTTTATCACAGCCGGCAGATTTGAGAGGTTCAGTGATGGTGTGGAGAAGAAGCTAATCTCCAGGATTCCTATGATAATCGGTGTTTTGCGTGACGGTTTGGAGAAAAATCCGATCTCCAGGTTCCGTACTACAATTGGATTTCAGGTGACGGTTCTTTCTGGGATTAGTTTGTTAACTCTGTTTTCTTCCTTTCATGGTTTCGTTCTCATTCTTTCTTCTTTTGGAGGGTTTCTTCGTCCCCTTTCCGAGGAGGTTGGGTCACCGAGGTATATTACAAGGATTCCGATGGTAATTGATGTTCTGCCGTGCCTTATCCGTAACCTTATGAACGAGCAAAAGCGAGCGATGGGTGGCCGATATGTCAACGGAGTTTTTGTCAACTTCCTATTCCACTGCAGGTTCCTTATTCTATATAGAAATTGACAGGTTTTTCTTTAAACTTTGCATCTAACTTTATTTAACCTCTGTGTATTTTTAATCAAAGTGGTTTTGCGTTGTTCTTTTTTTGTTTTCCATCCTCAGTCGTGTTTGGTTGCCTGGGATTGCTATCTGCTCTGATCTCCTTTCTTGCTGTCATTGTTTGTGTATGTACTGGTGATAAAGTATTTTCATGAATAGTTATGGTTAGAGTATTATTATTGGATTCCTTTTAGAATCCAGTGAAAATTATTGTTGTCGGTGTGATATTTTCCTTTTTTCGTCAAAGCACGAGACATGATTCTACATTGCCTATTTCGTACAAGTCAATGCACTTCACCAACTAACGCAGCTCAAACCAATGGATTGAAGTTTACCTTCAATATCCTTTTTTAGGTCCCATGTCTGCACCAGTAATACTCCCACTGAAATCCAAATAATTAGCTCACTCAACAATTGAATAATGCTGGGTTGTGATTAATGATGTTGTTGTTGGTTTTTGTATGTTTTTTATCTTCCGCGTACTGTTTATTTATTACTCGTGAACAAGCGCCGCTGGTATTGAGTCAGAGTCAGACACTGCACCATGTTGCCATTTTTGTAGCCTGAACCTGTTTTCAATCATTGCCAGTTATATGTTTTGATCTCGTGTGTCAATCAACTGAAGGCTGCAGTTTTTGCCACTGAGCGAAGAAAGTGTTGGAAACCACACTTGCAACAGTGTTTATTCAGAAGCTTTCGAAGAACTAGAAGCCACCACTTGGTCCTTCTATCACCAATGCAAGGTATTTCCTTTTCTGATATGTTGTATTTAGTCCCAAATGGGCTAGCTTCCCTTGACAAATTTTGTCAGTCATGCATAAATAACAGAAGCCTTTAATTAAGTGTTATTGTTTTCACTTAATTACAAGATTCTTGAAGATGTGATGTTGCTGGATGGAATAGGTGACAACGAAGGCCGTCCTCTGTTCAACGTACATGCAATGTAAGTACCTGGTGAATGGGATCCATTTTTGATTTTACAATTTGTTTCGCGGATATTGTAGTTTTTGACAAAATCCTGAAAGTAAATACTGTTAGAATCCCAACCCACTAAATTGGTTGTCTATGTCATCTTCACAATTTAAAGTTTAATTGAATTCTCATTCAAGCCAGCTTACATGGTAGTTCTGTGAGTCAAACATCCGAGTGTCAAACGACAATACTTAAGATGTTATATGACGAAAATAGAGCCAGTGAGGTTAATAGAAAATTCATTTAGCTTTTTCTGGAGTTCATGCAGCCTAACACAACTTCCTCTTACAATGAACATTAAAACAGTACAATTTCAGTCGAAAGTATAGAAGGAAACAACGTCTAGCCAGAGTAAAAATTACATAGCTTGCCTCTGCATTCACATGACTATTGACTGGGATATTTTTATCTTGGCTCAACTGACTTAGGCTTTTACCCATTGTAAGGATTTCATTTTACTTACTCATTTGCTACTTTCACCGCCTGCAATCTGCATAGTAGGATGTCATTTGTGGTTTATAATGGTCCCTAACATTATAGATTTTATGGTTTGGTTTTGTTTGTGCCTATAGTTTTATGGTTGCCCATATGCTTTGCTCTACAGTTTGTAGCCGGTCTGTTCTGATGTGGCACCAAGGGTACATGGAACTGTGGATTAGGAGGTATAGCGATGCACAACTCAACTTGCGTGTGCGTTGCTTCATTATGATTAATTGAGGTTTGTTCTTCTGTAACTTCTTCTTTTATTCCCTTTACATGTTCTGTTCTCTAATGTGGTCTCGGTTCTTTTCCCCCCTTTTTGCCAGAGCTTTGCTGTACAAATAGGGAATGAATTGCATATGCAATTGAGAGGACTAGAGTTGAATATTGTTATTCTAGGATGAGGAGGAGAAGGTCATGTTACAGCCAGGTATTTGTTTTCCTATAACGGTCTGAAACTTTGGTTCCTACAAACCCAGTTTTAAGTTTTCATGATGTGAAATAATTTGAATGATCTTTAGCAAGCAACCATGTGGAAAAAAATGAATAAATTTACCATAGTTACTAGATAATTGGTGAAGTTTAATCAAGCGATAAATGCCAGATTGCCTGCTCTCAATTCCCAAAGAGTTGTTGAGTTAGTAAATAATTCATATATTCAATTGTGTTAATTTTATTGTTTTCATGTACCTTATATGTAATTTATAAAGGGTGTTTGCAGCCATTAACTAATTGGTATGTTTTCAAAATGATTTACTCCTCAAACCAACAGTTAGGTGGCCTGACAATTCTATGTGTTCAAATTCACTCTCCTTTCCTTTAGCTATGGACTCTGCTGGTGTTTCATTTCAGAATTTCAGTTATGGCGTGGAGAAGAATTCCAATTTCGTTTTTATTCTCATTTCCACTCTCTCTTTCTGATTTTGTATGAGTGTTTATGTTCTCTTCCTTCGAGATGGGTGCCTATTTTAATCACAAATGCCGGATTTGTGAGGTTCAGTGGCAGTGTGGAGAAGAAACTAATCTCCAGTTTCCACGACGCTTTTAGATTTCTGTGTCACTAAAGACACAAACCGAGAAGCACTGACCTATAAATAGAAACTACTATCTTTTCCCATAAGTGAATTCGGATTTGAATGCTTGTGTTCTTCTCAATCATGTTAGTTTTGTATTATCTATAGCTTACTTTTCACGATTCTCCTTACCCTTCTTTTACTCTTTCCGGATGCTTTTTACCCGAATTATCTTGCTATCTTACCTATGCCTTACATCAAGTTTATTGGGTTTCTCCTAATATCAGGTCCTTGCCTATCTTTCAATCTGTGAAGAAAGGGCAAATCTTTAGCTGACTCCTCACTCCCATGATGAGGTGCTTTTATGCAACTCCTAAGACCTACTCACCTTAGGTTGACCGAACCGTTGCCATCAGTCATTGATTCTCTTTCTTCCATTTCTACTAGAAGATACAAAGGTTAGCTCTTACCTATTCATTCTTTTGGCATAGAACCAGAAAACTTGAAAAACTTATAGACCCTGTAGTCAATAGCACGGTTTGAATGTCTCTAATGTAGTGTTCTATAGGTGATTAACCTGTCACCCTTCTTTCCCTTTAGAGATTTTACAATTTGAATTCATAGTGGCTTGAAACCAAGTGTTTATAGTTTTGTTGCCATTTAATTCTTTGTAATATGACTGCATTTGTAAGCCTACTTTCTCATGTACCCAATGATTATTGGTTCAGGATTTTGGTCATCAATACTGTTGTTTACTGTTGAGGTTGAGGCGTATGAGTTATCTTTTTTCCAGCATGTGCTCTGCTGTTTCAAGTTTCTTTCAGAAAGAATCTCATTGAGTTTGTCTAGAGCGTAGGTTTTCCCATGTCATGGTGCCGCTTTTGCATTTCACATACTATGGTAACCCTTTGCATTTCACAGTACAATTTGGTTTTTGCCAGCAATTAGCTCTTATTTTCCTTCTGGTTGACTGGATAACTTTTGTTTTTGAAACACACTTTATAGTGAGCGGACCTTTGCCGATCAAACTGTTTGAATGTTCTTTTTCAGGTGAATTACATGAATGTTCTAAGTTGTCTATGTTTTCTTTGTTTCTTCTCAACTCGCTCTTGCCCGTGAATTGCAGTTGTTGCCTACAGATGTACAATTCCAGAGATAGAAGCATAGAGCAACACAAATTTGTGCTTTCTTCGTCTGGAATCAAGCTAATTTGGTTAGACAGATTATATCCAAAATACATAGACAGACACGCGTTATGGTATAGAACTTAATTAACATAATAGGGCCATGTATGCACTGTATTTTGCACTATGTAGTTCCTCTATGGCTTGTGGGTTATTGTGCTCTTGAAGTTGGCAAAGATGAATTAATTTACTGGGAATTTTCCTGCTGTACTGCTTGCTGGCCTTTCTTCTTAAGTCAATTCTACTATAGAGTCGTCTACTTATATTGGGTTGTGCAATCGTGCTTGAAGGTCTTTCGCGTTAGAAACATTGGTAATGATCCTTTCTCAGGAAAGTGCGTGTGTGTTCCATGCTGCTTCATCACGATGAGATTTGGAGCGCCATAACGGACAATTAAACTCTTCTGGAAGTCAATTAATTAAGGACACTTAGTTAATTATTATCATTATTATTATGATGAATATGATGGTTAGAGTTGAAACATTCTAATAAAAATATTGATCATGGTGTTCTATTGTATTTACCATTTGATATGATTTATTTGAACGGGCTATTCTTGCAGTTTTTTGGTCCGCTGGAGCCTGGAGCAGAGTTGGTGAGTCTTCATCTTTGCCTTGCTCAGTTGTGCCCAATATCTAATGCAGCCACTCATGTTACAAATTGACAGAAAGTCTTATCCTTGAGATGGTCGGTTTATTAATTTCTACCAGTTTTGAATATGTTCCTTCTATATTGTTGTGTTCAACAGTTCGTTTTGCCTTGCCTGCTTACGAGCCTCCCGTTCTTAGTTCTTTACTCCACCATATTCCCTTTTGGTTTCGTCTTCATGTTTCAAAATTTTCCTTTAACATAATAGGAGGGTGTGACCTTTTTAGTTGTCAGTTGTATATGTAGTTGAATACCAACATAAAGTTATCATACAGATTAAAATAGTCTATTGAAATATTTCAAGGATGCATAATTTTTGACACAGTTTTTATTAGTTCTTTGAGAATTGGTTTTTGTCTTCAGACAGGCTGCACCAACTGTGGTACAGGAGAACAGAAAGGGAAGTCCGACTTTAATAAAGCTTTACTTAGCAGCAGGAATACGCTAGCGCCTCTCAATGTAGCCTGATGGGAGCCACCCTGATTTCCCTTTGCACAAGCTACAGTCGTGCTATTAGCTTGACAACTTCAAAGTGTAGTTATGTTTAGCTCCAGTTGACCTTTTCTATTGTTATTGCACAGGGTGGCATCTATGTTAATATTTATTCAGAAATTCAAGAACCGAATGCTCATTTCGGTGCAGCATTTGTTTTCTATGCATTGAACATGTAAGCAAAGAAATTGTAGGATTCATTGCCTTCCACACCTGAGGTGTTGAGTTGATTACGATATCAGTTGTCAGGTTAAGTATTCATTTGACAAGCTCATTAGTATTTGTTTCATGATTATTGACAAATCATGATTGTTTGATTGCATTATAATAACTCTATTTTCATATTTCCCCCCTCACTTATGAATTCGAAGATCAAACACTCTAATCCTCCCGCCGCGAAGCGCGGGCTTCCGTACTAGTACTTCTTAATGTTATTACTGATATGATATTTCAATGGTTCGCGCTTTGCCACGGGTATAGGTGTCTAATAATTTGATTTGTGTTGAATCGAATTAGATTGAGTTGTCCTTTCTTTTTAGTAAATCTGATGGTCAAGTCTGGTCTACAAATATTCATAGCATGTCTTTCTCCGCGAAGTCCTTGACCATAGGGCTGCAAATGAGCCGAGTTGTTCGCGTGCGACTTGGTATTCTACTCGAAAAAAGCTCGTTCGAAACTCGACTCGTTTATTAACTAGCCGAGCATGAGCTAAGCCTTGTTCATCTCGTGAAGCTCACCAGCTAGCTCGACTAGGTGGCTTGTTGAGCTAAACTCGTGAGCTGTCTCATTTAGAGCTCATGCGATGTCTCACATTGTGGCTAGAGAGCCAACTCGGTTATCGACTGGGCGAATCGATCTATATCTTGTATTTTAATTCATATGATTGTTAAAATATATATCACCCTATATAAAGTTTAACTCGTTGAGTATGTGAGCAAATATAAATGCTTTTTTATTTGAAAAAGAAATTTTATATCATATTGTTTCAATACTATGAACTAACATGATTTGGACTAGTTAAAATATCTATATCTTGTATTTTAATTCATATGATTGTTAAAATATATATAGATCACCCTATATAATATTGAGCATCTGACTATTATTTTTTCATCATGACATCAATCACATGTATTATACATGACATTCAAAATGAAGTATCAAATACGAGTCAAAATTTTAGTAAACAAGCCTAGCTCGAGCCGAGCTCAAACTAACATGAACTTGTCTACTCAAAATGGCAGTACAGGTAACATGAACTTGTCATCAAGGATCCAAGCTAAGCTAGCATATCTTTTACATAGCCGCCAACCCTCGATCCTATTTCATGGTTTCTCTAGTCACATATCACTGTTTCCTACTACTTTTCCCAATCTAAGAAGACCAACCAATTTAAGATTTCGAATAAACAACCAGCATACCTCCTCAACAAAACAAACAACGGTAAACAAATTGAACTCAAGGTCCTAGATCTCGAAACCCAATCAAGTCACCATCGAATAAAATAAGGAGATTTTTCCAGAAATAGCACCTTTAAAAAAAAAATTACAAAACTAGCACCCTCTCAAAAATATTTACAAAACTAGCACCCTTTTTTATTGACCGCACCCTCCTGATGCGATTTAGAAATAAACCGCATCCCCCAGGTGCGTTTTATAAGTAAACCGCACCTGGAGGGTGCGTTCTAATCTGGTGGGCCTAAATCGCACCTTGGCCATGCGATTTCATGTCTGGCCTACATGAAACGCATGGCCGAGGTGCGGTTTAGGCCTGACCTACCTAAACCGCACCTTAGTGATGCGATTTATTCCTCCAATCATGAACCGCATCTGTAAGGTGCGGTTTCACCATGTAGATCGCACCCCCCAGGTGCGGTTTACGTGTCAATTATTTTCCGACACCCGACACAGCCATGCAGAGAATTATGGACATAGGGCTGCATGGCAGACTAAAACCGCACCCTAGAGGTGCGGTTTTCACAATTTTTTCCCCTATATAAGACTTGCCGGAAAACCTCTACTCTTCACACCTCTCATCATTCTCTCTTTCATTTTTCTGTTGTATATCTATATTTATTTAGTGTGTTTGCCATTAAGATTAACTCGTAAGTTTATTTTGTGTTACTTTTTATGCCATTAAGATTAACTCGTAAGTTTATTTTGTGTTACTTTTTATTGTTATTTGTGATTTGTGATTTTTATGATATTAACTAAACTACGGTTTGTTTGTGTGCAGATGGCATTCCGTCAGTTAACGCTTGGCTTACGGTGGAATGGTTACACGGAAGACACCGGAAAGGGGGCCACCTACGTCGGTGGCAATTTTCAGAAAATAACGGTCGGTACCAGACCGAAGCTTGAAGACCTCCATCAAATATGCACTGACGTTACTTGCATGGATGGCACGAGGAGGGTAGATCGTATGGTGTACCGATACCCAAACAGAGCAACTGGGTCATTGTGGCATGAGGAATATACCATAACCACTCAAGATGACGTAGATTCCATGCTCGAATTCTTGAGGTCCAACAAATTGGCCAAAGCCGAGATGTTCGTTTACACCGAGCCAGCCGTTGGTCGTGGAGGTCATTCTGGACACGGTCAAACATCTGGTATCCATGGTGGAGGTGAATTATATGACGATCATCCCTACCAAAGTTACCATGATCCTCTTAGGGGTATGAGAAGTTTACCTTGCTCCATAAGCTTCACCTCTTAGGGGATGATCGATTGGCCAATCCCTGTCTGGACGTTGGGCCGGTGCGAGAAATGGCATATGCTCCCAAGCCCAAAATTGGACGATGAACATTGCGCCGCTGACCTCCCTCACAGCTTTGAGAGACGCATTGCACAAGTTGTGGTAGATCATAGCTAGGCAAGCAGATGCCCAACTATACTCCCCCATCTCCTCCCAACTACTGAAGATGATCCTAAGCCATCCACAACTAAGGAGATTGCTTGCTTTCTTGGAGAAGAACACTCCTCCGATCATGCCTATGAGATTGACACGAGCATATCTCTCCTTCTCATCCTCCGGACTTTCCTCCGTAAGCGGATGACTCTCGTAATGATCTCTAAAATACTTCGTCAACCATGTAATTGAGACTTGGTGTTTCCTCAATGGTGGCATGCGATCGGTCGCATCAACGCAACCCTTCACCGGTACTTTCACTCCCAAATGACTGTGGATGAAATGCTGCCAACCGGGCATACCGTCACAATCCTCGGGGGGATGATCACTCACGCACACCGGTTTGCCGTCGATGGGCAGATGGGTTAGGATGGCGACATCCTTTATCGTGATGGTGGCCTCTCCTTCTCTAAAGTTGAAACAATGGGTCTCCTTTCTCCATCTCTCGGCTAATGCGGTGATGAGTTGACGATCGATTTGGATGCCGTTAAAATGCCTAATCGAGTCTAACCGTGCCCTTTTGAGAAATGGCAAGATAGCGGGGTGGAATGGGAGCACATTTGTGGTACCCCTGTAGCGGATTATTGTTTGTGCCTCCTAGGAAAAATGTACACGTTAATTATTATTAGTAAGGGTTTTTTTTCGTATAACTAAATTAATTAAATTAAATTATGCGACATAAAACATAATTTTATTATCATAAAAAGACATTTCATATTATCATAAAACATTGTCAATGAATAATAATTTAAAGAGGTACATACATATTATCGTAAAACAAACATACTGAATTAATTAACATAAATAACATTGTTAATGAATAATAATTTAAGTAGAAACATACATATTCAAATGTTTGTGTAAATAATTTAATCGTATTAGTTGTTTTAAAGAGGTATATACATATTATCGTAAAACAAACATACTAAATTAATTAACATAAATAACATTGTTAATGAATAATAATTTAAGTAGAAACATACATCTTCAAATGTTTGGTAAATAATTTAATCGTATTAGTTGTTTTAAATAATTTAATCGAATACAAAGCAACACTCGTTAGACTCTTAGAAGAGGTATACATCTTCTTAGAAACACAGTCTTTTTGACAGAAAAAGGGGGGATCCGAGGATCTCTTAATACCCGATTTTCCCAGGTAATGGGAGGATATGATAATCGCTTAAAACCCCATTTCCTTAGACGTGCATCTCTTTATAAAGAGTCGAAGTAAGTGGCGCTATGTATTCGATTAAATTATTGAAAACCACCAACACGATTAAAAAATAAACATAAATTTATTTTATATTACACTAGGCACATTAACAAAATAAAAGAAGGACAAATGGTGAAGAATTGTATGTACCGGGTGATCGTTCCAAACATCCCATGACCGATGATTGGGTTGGTCGTACAAGTCGGTTGGATCCACCGGTCCTTGCTCGAGATAATACCGTTGGTTGTATATATCGATGTCCTCCCCAACCTACGAGAAAATAACAACGAGGTTAGTACATAGATTAATTAAAAAACTTATAACAACAATAAAAATTAAACCAGAATAATGAATACATACCGCTTGAAATTCATCGACATAAACTCCTTCTCCTTGCCACCAATCGGCCATTTTTTCGGCGTAATTCGGACAGAGCTTCGGCTCGGCTCGGCGGGATTTTGAGGAAAAAACCTAAGAAATATTTTCTGATGGCAGATCGGACTTAGCCGCAACCAACAGACTTTTATTTCCTAGGCTTTTGGGAGGGGAGGGTTTAGAGAGATTATATCTAGAGAGAGAAGGAGAATGGGTTGTGTGGAGTGAAGAAATGAGAGGGGGAGGGGGGTATTTATACCCAACAGATCGCACCCCTCGGGGGCGGTAGGGTAATTTTACCCCGTAGAAATCGCATCTCCCCGGGGCGATCTCCACGCCAAATCGCATTCCCCTGATGCGATCCCCGCGTCCCAATGCGTTGAACGCGCAGAAAACTGACGCTCCAATTTTCCAGGCGAGAAATCGCACCTCACCAGTGCGATCCACACTCAGTCGCGCGGATTGCTGACGTGGCTATGCTGCAGCCCGTCAGATCGCATCGTAATCGTGCGATCCAGAAGGTCGCTGGCGACCAAAGTTGGAACGCATCTTGGGGATGCGTTTTGCCATAGAAATCGCATCTTAGGGATGCG